ATGCACTGCACTCCAGGCTGTCTCCAGCAACTACCTGCGTCAGTGAACCAGCCCTCTCGAATCGCACGGTGCGTGACCTACTTTGCCTGGAGACCGTACAACAATTTTGCGCTCGTGTCACAGACTGGGGGGCAGGCTGCACTTAGCACTGGAGGCGGAGTGGAGGACAAGTCGTGGCTATATAAAGAACCACGTCAAATTGGAATTCCCGATGTTACTCTCGATACTTTATTCTTGCGTTCGATTACGAAAACTGTTCTCGGCTAGGATGAATCACCATAACCGCTGCTAGGCTACATAATATTTATATATTGATATAATCCCTTTCTTCCTTTGCCATCTTTTCTTCTGCAACATCTTCATTTTTGTACTATCTATTAATACATACAACAACAGATTTACAGGTTACTACTCCCTAGCTTTGTTAATTACTCGTAATCAGTTTCAAGTCCAAAAAGGAGACAGACAAAAATGTCTTTCAATTTTTGTCATATTCATAGACGAAGAGACTTCTTCGCCAAATTGATCTTTTTGAGTTTATGTCCTTTTCTTTTGTTCATATTAGAGAAGACAAAATGTTCTTACTAGATCTAGATCTAGCAGGCTAATCAAGGACCTTAAATTACTGTATAATAATAACCTCCTTGGCACACACGCTTACACCCCCCCCCCCCCCCCCCCCCCCCACCCCCCCCCCCCCCCCCCCCCCCACACACACACACAAATATTGAGTAGTTTTATTTCCATTTTTTCGGGGAGGGCGGGGGGTATGCACTCCAGCAACTACCTGCGTCTAGGCTCGTCACTACGTCAATGAACCTATTTACAAAGTCTACAGACTCTTTGCTATAAGTGTAGCGATATTTCCACATGCAATCAAAGAGTCTACAACAATATTAGTATCGAATATGTGATCCGTGGTTGATAGTAGTGATGGACCGATACCACAATTTAGATATCGATGTCGATACCTAATACTTTTTCAAGGTATCGATACCGATACCTCGATACTTAATGCTATTGGTAACATACACCGGGGGTAATAAGTAAAGACAAAAATACAACTATACTTTTCCAAGTATTTAGGTAATCGTGTCTAGACAAGTTGTGACTATTTAGCTGAGACTCAAACAAAAATTATTTGTAAAAGAGAGAGAGAGAGAGAGAGAGAGAGAGAGAGAGAGAGAGAGAGAGAGAGAAATAAATACCCAAATATGAGAATAAAAACAAAAACTAAGTGAAGTACAGGAGGAAAGTCAACTTTGCAGAAAATGTCAGTATTGGAAAATAAAAACACAAGAGTTCTAAAAAGGCAATTCAATTTACCAGATTTTTAGCATCTTTAAATTAAACCAACGAGGATAAATCAGGGTTGTCAGTGAGGATTTTTCAAAATCACTAGATACATTTCATGAAAAACTTCTCTCTTTTTGTTAAAAAATCACTAGATTAATTTAAAACGCTTGCCCCCTACGAAAACTTATCAGTTTTAATAAACAAAAAATTCTCAAGGCCGAAGTCACTTGCTTTGGCAGCCCTGGGATAAATAACACATAGATATCGATGTTTAGAGCAGGTATCGGTACCGATACCGATACCTATAGATATCTAAGTATCGAGTACCTGGTATCGATACCTGCCCATCACTAGTTGATAGTGGTGACTGGTGACAGTGGTGTGTGGTTGAACTGTTGTTTGTTGACTGTTGTTATAATTTAATTCGACGTATGTTCAACTTCATGACTTAGTTACTTTGATCGGGTCAAAACTAACATGATTAACCACATGAACTTCAAGGCATATATATCCTTGTGTCCTCTGGAATCCATAATCCTGTTCAGGAACCCCGGTCTTTGTTTTCTGACTGAGAAGGTGTGTATGGTGTATGGCCGAGCTTACTAAACACTGTAATTTTACCCACTGTACTGTAGTCTAGTAGGCCTAGTAAGGTAGCCTAAAGGGGTGTGATGTGAGGGAGATCTAGACTAGATCTAGATATCTAGATCTAGAATCTATCTAGATCTTATAGATCTACATCTAGAATTCTAGATATCTAGATAGATCTAGAATGCAAGAATCAAGAGCAAAGTCAAAGACAAAGTTAAGCCTGCAGTTAAGGCCAGCTCTATTTAGATGTAGATCTAGATTCTCTAGATCTATTTCTTCTCCGAACGTTCGGAAAAATAAACTTGAACACTATTTGTCCGAACGGTTTCCGTTCTCGAGATTTGTTGAAAATAAGCGAATGGAGTGGCCCGTGTGCATGTGTGTGTGTGTGTGTGTGTGTGTGAGTCGGTGTGTGTGTAAGGTGTGGACGAGGGGGGGGGGGGAGGAATTTTTTTTTTACATGAAGGATTTTAGTTTTTGCTTGGTGACTAAATGTGACTTAAGTACGGCTAGACTCGCAGTCTAGCCGTACTTATTCTTAACGAAGTGACTATTTCTCCGAACGTTCGGAGAAATAGTGCCGATCTTTATTTCTCCGAACGGTTTCCGGCTTCCGGTCTCGTGATTTTTTGCCTAGCCTGTTTATTGAGAGAGTTCAGCGCCAACTTTCATTCTGCCTCTGGTCTGGGAACGAACACCGCATGGCATGGCAAGCCCGCCTACAGACAACCTTCAGTAACACCCACCACATACCCACCACCATCATGCACATGTACACACACAAACATATTTATACACACACTAACTAAACATGATTAGTGGGCAACTTTTGAACGTATGACGAGCTGAGCTGTGGATGGAGAGACAGTGTGAGTGACTGAGCAGGTGAAAGGAAGAATGTACGAGTGTATCACAGGCGACAGCAACTACAACTACAAGGCGACGACACCGACCCCCCCCCCCTGGCCTGGTCCACAGCACACGAACGAAAGGAATGCGGCTACGGCAGGTTTTTGCTAATATTATTGTCCATGGTTCGCAGGGTACAAGGGAATGAGTGAGATTTTCTTTGTGTGTGCCTGGAGTGAGGGGGTGGGGTGTGAAAGTCATGCGGACGGGGATGAGCCGCGGGAGAGAACACGGGAATTGAATGAATGAGTGAAAGAGAGGAACGACTCATGAGCCCTGGAATGAATGGGTCCTGTGTTTCTATTTTTGTATACTTTGAACTGTTACTGAATAAAGGCTGAAATAAAGCCCGAAAAAACAAACACACACAGGCTCCTCACTCTCCACTTACACACTTACTACCACACACAGACACATGCACACACACACACACACACACACACACACACACAGGAACAAATTTTTAGGTCTATATATATTTCAGTTTTCAAGAGCTAGTCTAGAGATTTTTAGATGAGTGTAAAAACGTGAAAAAGAAAGGTTTCACGACCGAATGAAATTAAAATTAGAACAGCCCATAAACAACCACAAAAATTAACAAATAAGGGCGTGAGTCCACCTGTCCGAAGAAGATTGGCTGTTTTAACCCTAAATGTGTGCAATTTTAAAACAAAGTACATGATATTACATGTAAATTATGGAATCACACACATTAAGGGGCCTGCCAGAGTCAGTACACGTAGATCTAATCGGGTTTGGTGGAACGAACGCTCTAACATAACACATTTAAATCTGTATACATGTATATATGTATTCAGAATCTAATGAAAGTAGGAACATAAAATTAAATGACGTTACACTATACAACATCCACACCCCCCCCCACCCCCCCCCTCCCTCCCTTTTTCCCCAACAAAAAAACTGATAAAAAAACAACACAGAACAATAACAAGAAAGAAAAAAATACAAACACTAACAAAATAAAACACCACAAAAAGGGAAAAAATAAAAGTAACTGTAACTTATTCAACAAATCAACGTGGTGACAACAAGTGAGAAAGAGATGAAGTGAAGCTAAGTGAACTTTCTTTCAAAAGTAAAGAGGTTCGGTTTCTTTCATTTTTTTTTTTTTTTAAATTTGACTTTTATTCCCCGATTCGGGGACCAAAAAATGCCCAAAAATCGAGCCACGATTGATTGGTCGCGGCCGCGACAAACGCAGATGCTAGTTCTATGTGTCGTTATAAATAACCCTCCGTAGATCTAGATCTAGATCTAGACAGCACCCGAGTGAACACAACACATTCATTAGGTTTAAGAGCAGCACCCTTCATAGGCAACACGTCATATATGTAGCGAAAAACTGCTTGGAACTGTAGCATTTCTTTATACAAATATTTACTGCGGACATTTTTTGGACCGATTGAACCATATTGTATACGAACAATCTTTGGTAGGCCTATACTATAATTATAGATCTATATAATATCCGAAATTTGCGGGAAAGGATGTGATTTCAGAGTGTTCGGAGAAATAGTGCCCAGCTTTACTTTCCCGAACGTTCGGAGAAATAGTGCCTAGCTTTATTTTCCCGAACGTTCGGAGAAATAGTGCCTAGCTTTATTTTCCCGAACGTTCGGAGAAATAGTGCCGGCCTATTCTTAATATGATGGCTAGACTGACCATTTACAAAAAATAGGCCTACTGAATTGTAAATATACATTTTTAGCGTGCAGTACCTAAAGTATTTGCATTTGAGACGAAACCAGGTGCCTTAATGACAGTGCATGTATTTTAAACCTCCTGTTTTCTAATGTTAATAGGGCCTAAGATAAGTACGGCTAGACTGAGTCTAGCTGTACTTAAGTAAGGCTAGACTTCTTGTCTAGCCGTACTTAAGTACGGCTAGACTGCTAGTCTAGCCGTACTTAAGTACGGCTAGACTGTCAGGCTAGCCGTACTTAATATTGATGGCTGAATTGTAAATGAAATTTTTAGTTTGCAATGCCTAAAGTATTTGTATTTCAGACAAAACCAAAAGGTGCCTTACTGACTTGCATGTATTTGAACCTGAATAATTACTAGATCTAGATCTAATGAAACCTGTGTACTAAACAAGCTTGAGTCGATAGGGCCAAACCTAGATCTAAGTACGGCTAGAATGGCAGTCTAGCCGTACTTAAGTACGGCTAGCCACTTCGAATGCAAAATAGGTTACTGCCAATGTCTAGCAGTCTTGTTTTCTCGCAGTAACTTACCTGTTGAAGGTATTTTCAAATGAAGTGTATAGGTCTAGTCCGGGAACGTTTCCCCAACCACAAATGAAGACATCTGAATATTCAGACATTTAAAAATCTCTAGCTCCAGAAATTGAATTTGGTGCAAAAAATGCTTCTTCCCAGTCCTCGCAGAATGGCAGAATGACAGAATGAAAGGATGACGCCTAAATCTCGCAAATTTACCAAAAAATCTCGAGATCGGAAACCGTTCGGAGAAATAGAGTTCAGCTTGATTTTCCCAAACGTTCTGAGAAATAGTACTTCGTAAGAATACAGTCGAATCTGTGTAGGACGGAATGGCAAGGGAGCCAGAAAAAAATTTCATTTTAGACACTTTCTGTCTTGGAACGGGAATCTAGTGAGGAGAAGAAAAGGGGGGAAGGGGGCGGTACCAAGGCCCAGCCAGTGGGATCAAGGGTCGCTTCTTGTCTGGTTGGCAAGCAATCAAAGTTGTCAAAACTTCACATCTAGCTCTGCTATCCTCTCTGACAATGACATGCGTCAGTCTTATTTTTATCAAATTAACACCAGTGCTTGCATTTCATAGGACCACTGTTTGACCTCTATTAAAAACTGAAACATTTGAACATCTCCTTTGCTTCCACCCTTAGACTTAGCCCCCACCCATTGGAATTGGTGTTATAAGCACAGTCAACCAATACCACACCTCAAACTAGCATGTACAATGATTCGAGGAATTATTTTCTCGGCTGGCTGTGATAATCAGGGCTGCAGGCATTGGTCAAACTAATTTCTAAAACCTCTGGCCTCTGGCTACCAATGAAAGTTTCCAAGCTGGAGCGCCACTCGAGCACTTTCATTGACACTCGTGAGATTTCACACCCCTACCATCCTGACCATCTTCATTAAGCGTTGAGTAACAACCCTCAAATTGCACACCTACTCCCCTTCCTCGCCTGGCAGCATAACGTTTAAGTTTAGAGCCGGCAGACGGAACCAAACTTGCGAGTTTTGTTTCAAATCACGGCTGAATGGGCAAAATGTTTCCGTTTTCCATCTTAGACAGAGGTAAGACGCTCGGAAGGGAGCCAAATTTTTTCCCGTTTCTGCGTTAGACAGGTTTCCGTTTTATGAATTAGGTAATTAAAGAGGATATCAAGGGGGGAGCAGGGACATTCCGTTTAAAAGACAGTTTTCCGTTTTACACAGGTTTCTGTTAAGGCAGGTTCAACTGTAGATTCTATTGCCTGCGTGACTGCGACTTGTGATAACTAGCCAGTAAAACGACATATGTACTTGCAAATTCACTGAAGAGGTAGTAAAGCAAGGGTCCCTAAGAGTAGAGTGAGCCAAAATTCAGATATATATTTGTTTGTTTTCTTTTCCTCTTTGGTAGTTGCTGCAGCTGTTGCTATAAATGTAATTATTGATTTGTTTAGATTCTTTGTTGCTTAGCCTACTATGTATTTTTTGCTCTGACTCAGACCCAGACCTTTCTGTTTCCTTTTGAATTTGATCGGGGTGCTTGGGCTCTTTAATTAAAGTAGCTCATCAATGTGATTGCCTTTGACTTTGACTAATTTAAGTCCGTCACTTTAGAAAGCTCCGTTTCTCTTCGGGTTCATGAGAAAAAGCAAACGCACACACACACAACACATACACACACACACTCACACACACACACACGCACACACTCACACTACACTTAACCCCCCCAATATTAAGTTGTTTTATTTCCACTTTTTCGGAGAGAGAGAGGGGGGGGGGGGGTAGGGGGAGCATGCACTGCACTCCTTCTTCCTGCGTCTCGCCTCATCAATGAACCAGCCCTCTCGAATCGCGCAGTGTGTGACTTACTTTGCCCAGAGACACCCTTGCCAAACGGGGATCTAGACAGGAACAACCCAACACTCAAACTTCATACAATACCTCATAACAAATCATTAAAAGCAACAACAAACGAGATTGGATAAACGGATGGGCCTTGGGAAAGACAGGCAGAGCAGTTTTCAAACATCACAACAAAATGGAATGACTATATCAACCTCCAATACAGAGAAAGAAACAGACCACGATCTTCCGCTTCCGAACAGAACATAATACAGGTCAACTTCCACTTGAACAGACTAAATCCAGAAATTCCCTTGTGTGAATGATATATATGGAACTGTGGATCATCACCTGTTCCACTGCACAGCCCTAAAAGTAAATGACATCAGGGCTACCCTTCTCCCTCCGAGACCTAACATTGACAACACACTCTATAGAACATTGCAGCAACTGCAGCAAACCTGCACTTATCACTACTTGGCATTGGACAGAAGGGCGAGAGCCCAGCTGTTGCTGGATCGATAACAACAACAACAACAGCGGTCAAAATTCTCTAATGAACCATTGTTAAGGAGAAAAATAGCCGTCTTATATAGGTAGACATCTTATACATTGTCCTTTTAATGTACAAAAAATGCAAAGGGGAAAATGGAAAAATGACCACTTGTACAGGCAAGTGTTTTATACAGGTGACCGTTAGAGCAGGTTCAAGTGTATGTCAGATGGAAGGCTGCTTTGTTTACGCCGCCTGCCACTGTCAGTGAGGCCGAGCCTAGCTAAAATGAGCTATTCAATGAAATCTACTTTCAAATGGGAACTGAACTCACATCTCTTATCTTTTTGTCTACAACAATGAAGGGTCTCATTACTCCGTAGAAGTACAGTCGAAATTGTCCAAGATTGCCACCCATTGTCGAGGAGAAAAGGGGTTGTTTTAGACAGGCGAATGTCGTAGACAGTGTCATTATAAAACAGAAAAGTCACAATGTGGGAAGTTGCACACCGGTAATTGTCTTGGACAGGTGGCCATAGGACAAACATGAGCCTTTGCCAATAGGTGGGGTTTTCTTCATATACCTTACGAAATCCTTTTCTATTCCAATAAAAATGGCGCTTCAGCTTTGAAAATTGTATATGTTGTGCTTCTTCTTCTTCTTCTCGATCGCATCACACTTGAAGTCCGGTATCTGTCATAAATTGGGCCGTCCTGCTCAGTTCATCTGGCGGCCCGTATAGCTTCTCTTGTAGCGTCAGTGGGGTTGGCCACGTTTCCTGTCTCAGGGCCCTGTGTGTCTTGCAGTGCTGAAGGATGTGTTCAACAGTTTGGTCCGCCTCTCCACACTGGCATTTTGGTGATTGTACTTGTTTAAAACATTTGTACATATGTTGTCTCAGTCTTGTGTGTTGTGTCCTTAGTCTGAAGATAATCACTTGTTCTTGGCGGGACAGCTCATGGTAGTTATCTGGTGTCTGAGGTGCTTTGAATAGTGTATTTATAATAGTTTTTATTTCTGTGTAGTTAACGCTATTGTCTGGTTGCTCTGTTTGTGCTCCTAGTTTGACCATCCTGTCTGCCTGCTCATTTCCCAAGACACCACAGTGTGATGGAATCCACTGCAGCATGATCCTCAGACATGGGATGTCCTCAATTTCTTTTCGTAGCCCTGGTAGTTTGCCGGAAGTGATTGCCTGCAGTACTGACATGGCATCTGTAAGGAGTACTACTTGGCTTTGGGGGTCTACCACATTCTTGATGATGTTTGCTGCATGTACTAGAGCCTCCGTCTCTGCCCTGTAGTTTGTACAATGTCGCCCTGTTGGGACTGCCTCTGCTTGTCGTCGTCCATTTGGGAACTGTACGTACACTCCGGCTCCTCCTCTTTTCACAGCATCAGTGGCAGATCCGTCTGTATAGATCCTTATCCATGCTTCTCGTGGGTATCTTTCTTCTCTTTCTTCAAGCATGGACAGGGTGAGGGACTTCTTGCTCAGGTCACTGTGGTCATCTTTTGTGGTGAACATTGGAATTGATGTGTGTATAGATATGTTTGTGTTTTTCTTTTCCCATGACGGTGCCTCTGGGGTGTGATTCAGCATGTTAACTGTGGCTGGTAGATGGTCCTGTAGGGATCTTTGAAGTTTTCTGCTTTCTTTGATGAAGTTGGATCTTTTGAGTCTTGCGGTGTTTGATCTCGCTGTTCTCGTGTGCAGTATATGATCCTCCATAGCTGTGGCCTTGGTGTACTGTATGAGGGCCTTGCACCCCCATCTCCTCTGCAGGGCCACTATAGATGTTGTTTGTTCCATCTTTTCTATAGGCGTTGACCTCATTGCTCCAGTGATTATTCGGAGAGCCTGGTTTTGCACTTTTTCCAGAGTGTATTTGTGAGTCTGTGCTGCAGTCATCCATGCACTGGATCCGTACTCGAGATGGGGCCTGATTGCGCCCAGATAGACCTGTCTAAGTGTTTTCTCATTTGCTCCCCACTGAGTCCCTGCTAGTTTTCTCATGATGTTAAGTTTCTTCCTGGCTTTATTTTCTGCATTCTGAATGTGAGATGTTGTGCTAATTAATACGATGTTTCAGCTATGGGAGCATAGAAATTATATATAGCAGTTGGGCCTTCAGAAAAAATCTTAGAATTATTTTTAGATCTGAAGTCTATGTATTTTTAGAATGCAAAATGTGACGTGTCGAGTTCGTACTTTTTCTGTCATCATGTTCAACAATGAAATAATTGTTGAGAAACTCGTCCTTCTACACTGTTACTACTATAACTACATTATTTGTGGTGCTATATCAGGAATAATTATATCTATAGCTGTTTTTTACCCCCCGGGGCAGTGCCACTGACTGTAGTGTCTTTAGGCCATTCCCAAAGGGGGGACATTTCTCGCTCAAGCATAGTAGAATTGTCACGCTCATAACTGCCTGATCTACAACAGGGAACTGCTGCTTTTTCTTTCCTGATCCTTACTATTGTCATTTTCCGCTACTTCTTTTGAATGTTTGTCACTCTCTCGTGACCCGCTATTTCCGGGGTGCCTTGATAGTCGAAGCAGACTTTGTGCTGTTGAGGCTAGAGAGGTGAGCAGAGTAAGTCTGATTCCCTGTAAGGACTTCTCTGTTGACACTCACTCCTTGGTGCTCAAATGACCTTATGCAGTTGCGAGCGCCGTAAAATTCCTCTACTAAAAAAAAAAAAAGACCTTGTGCTGTTGAAGCTGGAGAGGTGAGCAGTCTAAGTCTGATTCCCTGTAAAGACTTCTATGTTGACACCCACCCCTTGGCGCTCATATGACCTTACGCAGTTGCGAGCGCCGTAAAACCCTCTACTATACATTTTTTTTTTTTTTAAGCTGTTTTTTCTTTGTGAGCCTTTTAGATTTCCTGATCTCTTGCAATGTTCTGTCGTCTGCTTTCGTCTACACTTTCTGCCTCCATCCCCTCATATCCTTTGCCCCCTCCTCTGGGCTCCTGACTCTTTCTGCAGCCTTTCTTTTTAAATTTCAACTGCTACTCCTTGGCTCGTTCTTACTGCTGTCTTTCAGCCACACCCCTGATCTTCTGGTAGGAGAGATCAACAGCTAGCCTTCTCAGACAAGGGCGGAAAATCTCGGAGGTCCCGTGTGCAAGTTGCGTCCGTTAAAGATCCCTTGGTGGTCTAAAATCAGTGGTCTAAAATCGATAAGAGTACGGGCAAAATTCAAAATTTCCTACCAACCGAAAATGTTTTTAAATGTGTCCCGCGCGCTCATATGACCTTGTGCAGTTGCGTGCACTGTAAAACACTTACCAAAAAAAAACAAGCAAAAAAAAAAAAAAAACCAAGGGGAAAAGCAATTTTCTCATTTCAGTGCCTAAGTTTAATTTTTTTTATGCATGTCATGTATACATAGGCCTATATACTTTTTGTATTTAAAACACGTGTAGCAAAATTCATACACTGAGACTAAAAGATTTCTACGTTCCAGTGATTTCGCTGTGTGCCTGCTACACTGTATGTGGTAATGGACTTTGGCGAGTTCCAGTGCTGTTATATTTACCTTGTAAAGCCTTAGAGCTGTTTTGTATGTAATATACTTTGTATGATAGCAACTTAATTCTCCCTCTTTTCTTTCATTGTGTTTTTCAGATGACATGGCTGGTTTTGGTGAATGTCCTTGGCTTGAAATTGTAGAAAGCATTGAAAATATTGATGATGAAAACACATGGAGCCCTCTCCTGCAGTGATGAGAGTTCATGTCTCTGTGACGTAAGTAGACCTTCCAGTGTCCATAGAAGTTTTGGGGGCTCTCGCGGCCAAGAGGTTAAGGTGTTCACCTCCCATTCAAAGGTCCCGAGTTCGAATCCGGGTAGCGGCGAAAAAATTTTCTTCTCTATAATTGTCTCCTTTCACCTCCTTTCCTGCTCTCTAGTAATGTTCTGTTGTTTGCTTTCGTCTCCACTCTCTGCCCCCCCCCCCACCCCCTCACCTCCTTTGCCCCTACTCTGGGCTCCTGACTTTTTCTGCAGCCTTTAAACTGCTACTCCTTGACCTTGGTTCCTTTTTACTGCCGTCTTTCAGTCACAGTCCTGATCTTCTGGTAGGAAAGATCTACACCTAGCTTTCTCGGACAAGGGCGAAAAATCTCGGAGGTCCCGTGTGCCAGTTTCGCCCGTGAAAGATCCCTTGGTGGTCTAAAATCAATAAGAATAGGCTTCGCCCACCACCCAGGCAAAATTCAAAATTGCCTACCAACTGAAAATGTTTAATATAGTGTCCTGCCCACTCATATGACCTTATGCAGTTGCAAGTGCTGTAAAACACTTTTAAAAAATAGAATAAAATAAAGAATAGAAGTTTCAGGTATAAAATGTAATGTCTAGCATTTAAGTTTGTCTTCTTTGTTTCTTCTTTTTTTTTTTTTTTGTCTGCACATTTTTCGTTCAGAACTATATAAAAAGGAAATTTTTAGATTTGCTGTGGAGAAAAAAAATCTCAGATTTTGATATTATGCTGTTATGTACATGTTTTTATGAAGTTAGGCGTACAAAATTTACTAATTGTGTGATACTTTGCTCTTTTCATTGCAGGAGCATTTTAGGAGTATCATAACTGTTCCCAGGAGACAAGAGAATGGAGTCTGTAAATGTTGTTTTCCTTTCCTTCCTTTTTCTTTTACTTTGCTGTAGTGGCGTAGATGGAAGCCATCAGCTGTGGGGGGGCGTAGCTGATGTCCCCTTCTCTCATCCCGATGAGTTTTTCCCCTTTGAAGGTCGTCCTGACATGTTACAGCAGCATGATTGCTATACATTCATTGTCAGCGTACTGGGGAACTTTGCTAGTGACCTGCTAGGTGGACTGGTGAGATTGAAGTATTTTGTCCTGTGGATGGAATACACTGATTCCCTGTCCGACCTTGGCAGGGACCTGTCCTACAGTTTGGATTCTCTTCTAAGCAGAGTTGAGACGAAAGTCAAGGTGGGCTTTGCTTTAAGCAAACACCAAAATGGCCCACATGCTAGCGCTTGGAGATGGCATGAATGTTGCAAAAGCAGGGAGATGTTCTGTAGAAAATGTTGCCCAGGCAACATCAGGAGCTGTGGTTCAGCAAAGAATGGAAGAAGCTCTAGAGCAGCAGCAGTACGTTTGAGGAGAAGAACCAACATTGGTTGTAAAAAGACTTCCTTTTCCAAAGACGAGGATATTTTGTCGTCAGCTGAAAATCCTGAACCCTTGCATCGCCCAAAGCCAGGGAATTTTTCTGGACCCAATTCCTATAGGTGAGTGGAATAGAGAATAAATTTTTAAAAAATTTATTTTTTTTCTTTTTTCTTTTTTGGTCCTATCTTGCATACTTAATACATTTGTGTCTGAGTCTTGCACTCAAAATGATAACCCTTGTAGTCTTTGTCATACATGAAAGTGGCAGGGAAACGCATTCACAGATTGTTTTCATACACACAAAATGAGGTCAAAGATTTTTTTTAGAATGTCAGTTTACATGCCTGAAAGCTTTTCCAACTATTTGATTGGATTTTTTTTTTAGTGGTTAGTGAGTGGAGCCATATTCTTGGTCACTAAACTTCATCGTATGTTGTTTACCTCTTCATCTTATTTGGGTTTTTTTCTAGTTTTAGGACCAGATTCAATGTCTTTTTTAACTCACTGAATATTCATAGTCAATAACCATCACATCACAATTTACAAATTTTTAATTTGTGTATAGTATTCTGTGAGAAATGTTTGTCTGGACAATTCAAGATCTGACTTCCTGTTAACTTGATAATCCCATGGTAACTATGAAAATCTGAAAATGAAACTGCCAACTTTTTATCAAAACGTGAGAACACAAAAGCTATCATTAGGAAGCTCATTCAAAGGTATAATAGTCTCTGCCACAATCCTCCATTTCAGTCACTTTTTCCACAGATTTTTGTCTGATGTTGCATGAGAAAAAGAAAACTGTTATAGTGAGACACATTTAGGGACATCTCAGAAGTTTGATATTTGAACATTTCTTTGGTGGCCTTGTGGTTAGGCTACCGGACCCGTAATCATGGGAATGCGGGTTCAGGGGTTCGAGCCTCAGCTCAGCCCTAAGTTGTGTCCTTCGGAAATGCACTTTACTCGAATTTCCCATGTGGCTCGTTCCTTTCGGAGATAGACGTTAAACTTGTAGGTCTCGCCTCTTAAATAACCTAGTAGTGTTTATAGAAGCATAAAAGCAACAACATTTTTAAAAACATTTCTTCATGTCACAAAGCAGTACAACCTATACAGTCGAAATTGTCTAATGTTGGTCATTGTTGAGGAAGAGAAAAGTGGCCGTCATACACAAGAGGGAGTCTTGCACAGTGCCATAAAAAAATGTTTAAAAATCACTAAAGTGGAAGAGGGAATTCACAATTTGTACAGGTAATTTTCTTACATTTATATAACCTACAGGTGGCTGTTAAAGCAGGTTTGACTGTCATGAATAATTTTCAGTTTTCTCCTAAAGAGTGAAGACAGAATTATATAATGTTCTAGATGAAATCAAAGTTGTATTTAGACAACAGAGTAATCTAGCCTAGCTTGCAATATCTATAGTTTCCTCGTTTCCTTTCTAGTTTTTGATTGAGAGATAGCAAGTGCCCAGTTACTTCCTTTGCTACTAGGTTAATTTTGAATCAAAAGTGATTTGAGATGTCTTATGTTGTTACAAATGATTCTAAATACAAACAAAGTATTTTGTGGGTTTTTTTGTTTAGTACAAGTATTTGAGATTGACTAATGGATGAAAAAAGATATTTTGAAAAATGTGTTCTGAAAAAAACAACAACAAAACAAACCAACAAACAAACAAACAACCTGTGCATGTCAGTTTGTCTCATTGTAAGTTTACGATCGTTTTTTCTCTGTAAGAGCCCTCCATAAGCTCAGTTGGTATCCTGCTGAACTTGAGAGCGGATTGCCCTGGTTTGAATCCCATACTGGGGGTTCTTGAAATCGGTTTGTTTTTTGGTGTTTTCAAGGCTCTCAACCCATTTGGCTTGGTCGTATCGGAGATGGATGTTAAATTCGAAGGTCCCACCTTTTAAACAATCTATTAGTGTTGGTTAGAGCGTTAAACCCAATTATTTTACTTTTACCCCAGTACGTTTTTGATCAAGATGAATCCTACCATCTCCCTTCTATTTTTCTTTCTTTGTCAGGGAGATGTGTTATTTGACCTATGATTCACCTGAAAAGCAGATTTGTTGTGGAGGTGTGCTCTTCAATCATAGAAAGTCTGTCTTCCGAGAGAATCATGAAGACGATGTCCTAGCGCCACAGTGTTGTCACGGTATTGGTTCTTTGCCAGGAGCCAAAGCTATTGGTGAACTGCAGAGTCCACCTGAGGTCGAACCCTGTGAATGGACACAGCAAAGTAAAACTCTTCCTGCTTGTTTCAAATATATTTGGGACTTAAACAAGGGCAACGCTTCTTGCTGGATCGATGACCTGTCTTTAGAATATCCTCGTCTGCTTCCCTCCTCTGAGACCGGCCAGTTGGGTTTTCACAGATGTACAAACGACCCAGACTCTCATCTGCATCTTTCTTGTGGGAGAGCAATATGCTGTAGTAGAGAAAAACGGTTTTGTTGCACAAAGTCCAGATGGCCTGACGAAGCGTTTTCCCCTGTGAACAGAGTAATAAGTGAATCTGACAAAATCAATTCTACTCTCCTGATGGGAAATATTTTCCCAAGTAATGGGTCTTCTATTCCATCTATTGAGTTAGGAACATGCGCTGGCAATATGATATCTTTTGTAGATAGTCCTTCTAGGAAAGCTAGATGCTGGCTGAAAGAGAAACAGTTTTGTGAAATCAAGTTGAAGGGTGTCAACAGCTCGGTATTGATTTGTCCTGAATCAGACCAATTCTTTTTCGGCTTACATGCAGGGTATGTTTATGTAGTTGTAGCTTCATGCCTACAAGCATTCCTCTGTCTGTTTGCCGCTTCTGTTTGGATAAAAGGAATCTTGCCTCTGGTAATGAATTCGCCAGTTTTGCGAAAGAACATATTACATGCATGCAAGACACTGAATTTCAACGCTCAATGCCTGCCCTCTGTTGATGAATCCAGTACAGAGTATTTTGATGGTTTTGTGTGTTATGATTACAGCTTTGATGTGCAAAGTTTGGCTGCTAAGGATTACCTCAAATGCTCAAAGGGTGACTTCCTTTATGAGGTTTTGTACAATTCACACCGTACTACTCCTGTGGTACAAAAGGAGTATTTTGTGAACCCAGTATTTGCCGTCGACCGTGTAGCTTCATTCCACCCACTGTTAAGCGACCGTTCTGAGCTCGGTGGTGACTTAAAGTTCTTCATTCCCTTGTCAGCAGCAGGGTTCAGGTACATTAAGGAAAGCTCTCTGGTCTCCTGCGATGGATGTGGTGCCAGGCATGAAATGAGCGAGCTCACGTCTGCACCCTCCCACCCTCGCTACCATACCCCAGCAGGATGCTGCTTTGCCAGCAAGGAGAGTGGTACCCTGCCGGACTTGCCGAAACGTCCCATCACGTTGGGCCCTCTAGCCATTTCTGCCACAGCCTCAGCAACTAATGCAACGGACCATAATGAGGATCCTCTCATTGATGAAGGTCTTGGGTTGGATGACATACAGGAAGACGGTGCTCCGTCTGCTGCACAAAGTAGTGGGCATGCAAGTGGTGGCACCACAGGGGCTATTCCATCTGCTAAGCCATTGCCATCTTCATCTTCGGTCTCATCAGCTAAGACAACATCATTATCATCAACAACATCATCATCATCATCGTCAGCATCATTATCAATGTCAGCATCATCACCCTCAGCCTCAGCCTCAGTTTCAGCATCACTGACTTCAGCTTCTCATGCAGTGGCCGGACAAGGACATGACTATGAGTCGCAGTTTGGTCAGACAGGTAAAGTCTTATGGGCAGGTGGTTGGCGAGTGCTCTGGTATAGTTTGCTCCTTCTTTTCAATCAAACATCTTTTGTCCTTATCTGTTTTCGTTCTTCAATGTGCTTGTTACTCTCTTGTAACACCTCTTATCTTTGGCACTTGTCTGATCTAATTTTGTTGCAAGTGCCATAAAATGCTTACTAAAAAACTAGTCTTCTGCTTTTGCTACGTGTTGTTCAGCCCTAAAACGGACCCTTTCAGAAAGGTATGTTGACTCTTCATTACTTTTTTTGTTAGGCGTTGTCATCCTTGGGGGTGGGTGGCTGACGGTTGCTCTGGTGTGGTTTGCCTCTTCTTTCCTATCGAACATCTGTCATTCTTATCTCCCCTTCTTCTTTTTTATGTTTGTTACTCTCTTTTAACACCTCTAATCTTCTGGCGCTCATATGACCTTATGCAGTTGCAAGCGCCGTAAAACCACTACTAAAACAAAAACATCCTTACGGCAGCCACATAAGTACGAAGCCCGCCTCAAGTCTAGGGGCGAGCCTCCAAAGTGGTCGAAAATCACTGCATTTGTGGCTGAATTGCTGCGTGTGTGGACGATGTTTCACATGGCTGGACAGGGGTTCAAAAATTTAGGCTGGCACCAAATATTTTGCCGTTGACTTCAGGTGAACGGGATGATGGGGTAAAACTTTCTCTTTTTTTTTAGAATACATATTTGACGTGAGATTCATTATACAGCATTAAATTTACCTTGAATTTGATACCTAACGTCGTGCCGATATGTTGTTGAATGAAAATTCTTAATGAAAAAAACTCTACGTCTTTTGCCGACTGTATAAATTAGAATTAACCAGACAAAATGGTGCACAATATCCCCTGACCTTATTTGTGGGTATGTGATGAAAAAATAATCTCTGGCTGAGTCTAGACTAAAGTCATGTTGACTGGCTGGTGTCCTTTGGTCTGTGTGTGTGTGTGTGTGTGTGTGTGTGTGTGTGTGTGTGTGCGTGCGTGTGTGTGCAGCCTACTTTAGACTTAAAGTTAAATATTATAAATGTAACATTGTTTTAACATGGCTCAGTCAATATGATGAAAAAAAATTGTATCTGGGATTTTCGCGAAAACGACTGCCAGTGGCCAAGTTGGACAGGGACCATTTTAGGGTAATAGTGTAATAGTTTAGGAAGAATTCAAGGTGTCATAAAACAGTGGCCGTTAGTACAGGAGACAACTAAGGAGAGATGATCACTAAGTCAGTTGCGACTGTATGTTGAAATAAAATCCTTTCTTTTCTCTGAGGGATGTTCTGCAATGAAATAAAGGAATTTTATCTGTCTTCTGGAGGGTTCAGTTGAACGTAAATATGATTCATTTCATCTTTTAAAATGAAAATTTGGTTACCTCCGACTCTTGCACTTCTTAGCAATACAGAGTGAGCATTACAGAGTGGGTGGTTGGTAGCTGCTCTGGTGTGGTTTGCTCCTGCTTTTCATCTAATATCTATCCTCTTTATCTCTCCTCCTCCTTTTTTTTGTAGGTTCGTTACTCTCTCTTCACATCTCTCCTGGTTTTTTTTGTTTGTTTGTTACTCTCTAGTCACACCTCTAATCTTCGGCACTTATATGACCTTTTTGTGTCACAAGTGCCGTATAATAACGCTTACTGAAACTATACTAACTAATCACACAGCCAAATTAGCTTGCTTCTGTTGTTTTGCTGATTGGTAATTTTCTCCTCCTTGAATTTGACCAGCGGAGAGGCAACTTCTCCAGCGCAGCCGAAGTGTGTCGAAAAGCAGCTCGGCGTCCTCGGGCTACAGCTCGGCATCCTCGGGCTACGGCTCGGAACCTGACATACAGGACAAAGTCTATCAAGGTGAGTGGTTTAGGAACAGGTACCTTTAACTTTAACAGTACTGGCTTCTGTGATGTAGTAGGTAGGTGCTTCACCATCGCATGCAGGAGACCCGAGTGGTGAGAATTTTTGTAGAGTATCTCAGTCTTTTTGGTGGGATGTTGTGTCCCTCTCAGCTTCGGTCGACCGACATCTTTTCTGATCTCTGCTTTTATATTTATTATTTCATGAAGTTGTAGACCACTGTCAGATTTTACATTTTCAGTGCATGATAAAAGTCTTTCATTATTTCTCTTTTCTTCTATTGTGCCCTGTTAAGCGGGATAGCATCTCAAATACAGTGGAACTCGGATTCAACTTGCTCAGTTTGAATGAGAACTTTGATTCAACGAAAGAAGGTGGATTCCGCGAAGTATTTTTCTTCTTTAAAATCAATAAAAATAACCCGCATTCCACGAACAATTATATCAGCAAGCTCGAATTCAAAGAGGTCGCTTCCAAGGTGAACAGCCCCAGTAGACGTGCCTTCGCTCATTTTTCTCCCACAACGAACTGTATCTATTCCCGGGAACCTTCCATTGCACCTGCATTGTGAACCATTATTCGCTTAGCCGATTGCATGCGACCAATCAGCGGCCTTCTTTCATACCAACACACACGTTGTTGACATGCGCATGTGTCTACTGTAGCGTGTGTTGGGGTCAGATGGGCGGCCTGCTCTCGTCTGACTGTGTGTGCGTGTGTCGGGGGGCACCAGCGATCCGGGCATGGAACGTCGCAGATACAAACACGTCACAGGTTCCCCCCCCCCGGCAACTGATCATTATTACAACAATAAGCTAGTCTTGACATAGGTCTACGTAATGAATTGTGCTCTGGTCTATGGAAACAAAAGTTGCTGTATGCTAGGCTCTACACAGCAACACAACTTTTTGGCAAATAATCGAGAGAACACTCGCGTGCATTTGAACAAATCGGTCTTTTTTCACACAGCTCGTAATACGCAGGCATTTCAGGCTCCACTTGTTACTTTCCTTTACTTGCTCAGTGCCTGTAATTATCTATTCAAAAACCTCATGTTTGCTATTCGTTGAGTCCAAGTTCCGCTGTATCGTAATTCAGATTTTAGGAAAAATAAAATTTTCAAAACATTTTTCAGGGCACTAGGAATGGTCACATGCCCTGTGAAAGCCTCAGAGTCATACAAATAGTTCGTGAAAAAATACACTTTCTTTTGAAAATCCAGGCATTGTTGATGGACATAGCAGAGAAAAATCAGGTTTTTGTTCCTCCTGTAAATTTGGAAAAAAACTCGAGTCGCAATAGTTGTGCTGCTATCCCGCCTATTGTGCCTTTTTGTATTCTGCTGGAATTCTTCCCCTCTTGACGGGACAGCGGAACAGCTCACAATGTCCATCCAGCCAGCTTGGGGCACAGCTTGTATATGACTGCAGATGGCGGACTTTTGTGTTATAGTTTTGAAACAGGAACATAAACAGTTTTCAGTGGGTGGTTGTTGGGTGCTCCAGTATAGTTTGCTCCTTTTTTCTTGTCAAACATGTATCGTCCTCATCTTTCCTCTTTTTGTGTTTGTTACTCTCTTTTAACACCTGTAATCTTAGACACTTTTATGACCTAATTGTGTTACAAGTACCGTAAATCTCTTACTAAAACAAAACAGTTATTTTTGATCATTCAGAGAAAAATTATATGCAGGTGGTTGGAGGGTGCCACTGGTAGGTCCTTCTTCTTTACTTTCCCTCTGTTGTTTCTGTCTGTCTGGCTTACTTCTTCCCAGCTCTATATGTGAGGTGAGCAGTCTAAGGCGGTTTTTACGCCTCCTCCCCCATCGACACATTTTAGATGATTTAGAGGGCAGGCTCAGATCCTGCCCACCATTGCCGTGGCGGGCTGAGAGAGATACAAAGTCCCAGCAGAAAGACTGAATAAAATATTACAGAAAATTTCTCCTCACACAAAAATCGAAATTGGGACTCCGGTATGCAGAGGTGAAACCACAGACAGCGGTGGTCACAACAATTTCCATCATAGTGTTTAATGTTGATCAAATGTCAAAATTTGAGCTTTCTTTTCTTTCCCCTTTTACAAAGTGACCCACAGTTCTATGGGAGATGGGCATTGATTAATTTCGATTAATTTTAAGGTTAAGGTTATTAGTATTGCAAGGGGCATTAAACCTATACAATTTTAAAGCAACCCTCTATCCTCTTGTTGTGATGTAAACCCTCAATATTTGTTGTACCACCACCTGTGGTGTAGTGGTTAGGCACTTTGCTGTTGCACGCAGGAGACGCCAGTTGAATTCTGAGTGGGAAAAAAAGTTTTTATCAAGTACCTCCTGTCTTTTTTGTGGGATATTTTATCCCTCTCTACCATAGTTTTGGCCCTGTGAGGCAGGACTGGAGACTTGTCTCCTAAATGATCTAACTTGTGTCAATGAACTCAGTGGGCGCATAAAACAACTATTTTAAAAAAAAAATTTTTTTAAGCCCTTATCAACACTTTTAAGTTATTCGAGATGCAAGACCTCCGAATTTAACATCTGTCTCCTGTAAGAAGACAGAGTGAAATGGATTAAAGCTTTCATTGCTCCAAATTTGTTGTCTCTCCAGATTGGGCTAACAATATGATCCGACCAGAGGCTTTGGAGACGAAGAAGATGACACACCTGGAGTGTGTGAGAGACACCAGCTGCGACAGAAATGACCATTTTGGCTACATCATGGCCCAGAAACTGCAGTTAGTACATCTGCCTGACGCAGTGAAAAGCCTGGAGGTGATCACTCTGCTCCGCCTCTTCTACAAGCTGGTGGTGCGCGTGGTCGTCAAGACTTCACGTGCGAGGAGCACTGGCGGTTTCATCATTGGTTCCGGATATGTTTTCTTGTGGGGGGAGAGTTCCAATGGGGACACTGAGTCGCGGCCCCAGAATGGAGCCTCCTCTTTCAAGTGGCTGAAGAAGCATGTGCCCTCTGCTTTACGGAAACTTCCCGGGGATGTATCGAGGATATACATCCAGACTCACAGGTTACTTTACTTTACTTTTCTGATCCAGCGGCCATCTGGGTTCTAGCCCTTCGACCTAAAATAACTCGCAGGTTAGTAACTTAACTCTTTACCTCCTGGAAACCGCTGGGGGCTTGTGGTAGGAGCGGGCACGAGAAGAGCTGAGTACTCGTTTCTCGTGAGAAATGCCACTAAACTACTGGCCGGTACCGAGAAGTGATACTGCTCGTTGGCTTGACATAACGAGTAACGGTAACGAAAGTGAGAGGTGTCAACGGAAAGAGCGGCACAGTGAGAAATGACACGCAGACAGTGTCACCCATCACCGTGCCGTCCTGTGTCTGAAACTGTAAGGTAGGGGGGACGATGGCGGGACTAGGCGAGTGGGGAGTTGATCAGGGCTTAGGCCTAGCCTAGGCCAAGGTCTCCCTACCTTCCTTCACCGCCTGCGCTTGCGCAACAGGGCTAACCTAGTTTAGATCCCGGCCACGGCCGGCCTTCTCGCTCAGTGAGCTTCTCGTCCAACGGCAAGAGACGAGAATTACGTCACAAGACAAGAAGCACTTCTCGGGACCGGTACCGGTCCCCGCAAGAAATAGGCCAGCATCCCGGTCTGCTCGCTCGGGAAGAAAAAGTGCTTCCCGCCCGTCTCTAGTTTGTGGTCGGATCAGCTGTGCTGATGAGCTGTTGACAGTGGCTCTGGCACATTCCTTTATGACGACTTTGAAGTGAAATTACTTTTCGGTAATTGCCAAAAAGAGGTCTCTTTTATCGGGGGTTCGTTGATCAGATAAAGAACTATCAAAATAGGTTCACTTGTTTTGATTTAATAACCAAGTTAGTGAACTTTTTGTCACTTTTAGATTTCGTACCAAAAGCGGGCTGCGACATAGTGGATTTAACCCCCCTCCCCCCTGGAGAGAAGAGGTTAAAGAATAGGCATATTTTAGCAAACTGTTCAAATCATGGGGTAGCAGCACAACCATTGTAACTCGGGTTTTTTAGAGGAGGAACAAAAAAACCAGATTTTTCACCGCAATATTCATCAATAATACGTGGTATTTCAATTTAAAGTGTATTGTCCCAAAATGGTCACATGACTCTGAGGTTTTCACAGGGCATGCACCCCTTCTCAGCACCCTGGATTTTTTTTTTTTTAAGTGATAATCACCAAAACACTGAGGTACAGTACTTGAACTGCTACCCTTGTGCTAAGCCCAAAATTTTAACTTTTTTTTCTGTTGCAGTTGTGGAATTGGTTGCATGTGCTCAAGAAATATTTTATTTTGTCGGAATTCAAATTCTGAATATATTTTTTTTTAAAGCAAAAAAAAAAAAAACGTAATCCATAATGTAGGTGCAATTGTTAAAGAATAAAACAGTTTTTTTACTCTCTCCTGAAAAATGTTGTTTTTTAGGCCTGATACATTGGGACAGCCAGCCGCTGATATGCACAGACATGCAGTGATTTGTTGAGGTGGATAGTGCAGTGAGTGAGGCCAATCATCTTAAGTCCCTGAAAATATAATCTGGTTCGCAGCATGATTTCAATGTCAAATAAAGTCAAGAGGTTCATGCGCTTGACCCTTATCCTACAAACAGTAAAAATGGTCTAAGATGGCTGCCCATTGTTGAGGACAAAAGTGGTTGCTTAGACAGGTGGAAGTTTTAGACAGTGTCATTATAATCTTTAAAACTGCAGGGGGGAAATAGGAAGTGGCCATTTGTACTTGTGATTGCCTAGGATGGCCCAAAGAGCAGTGTCGCCTGCTTAATGTGAAATGCAACTGTGCAAAGTGGAATTTCTGTTCTAATCTACGCTAGAAACTTATAAAGTACCTTACTTACGTTACCGTAAACCTCATTTTAGTCTTTTTTTTTTTTTACTTCATTGTGCATGCCTGTAAGACAATAGGTGCGCTCTAAAGACAGTAGCTATCTACTGTCTCCTGTCAGTGTTTTTGTTGGTTGCTTCTTTCCTACTTATTTCTCTGTAATCTCCTGTAAAGCCACAGAAAATATTCCACAGGGACAATAAAATATCTTATCTTATTTTATTATTTTCTTTTTCCTAAGGCACGTGATACAAAATGATAAAGAAGTGTCTAATACTTTTTTTTTGCAACTTACTTCTCTGTAATTTCCTTTAACCTTTTGAGTCCTGACCTACTGATGCTATCATGCCCCTCTGCCTGAGCTCCTGAGTGGTATATTACTGACATTCTTATGATCAACAGAATCACATTCCATAACCCTTTCATGGTGGTCCTCGTCATTACTAGTATTTTATGCCAAAAGACGTTTAAAATAACCTGTAATGTCCTGTGTAGTAAACACTTTTTCCCACGCGTGTTTTGTCCCAGATGGGCCGGTTTTGGGGATAGGGTCTCGCTCACCGCTGTACAGATGGCAAGGCGTACAAGCAGTTTTACACGCCACCAGTGGCGAGGGCTCAGGGGTTAAAGCCACAGAAAATTTCCCACAGAGACAGTAATGTATTATATCTTATCTTTCTCCTTAGGCATGTGGTGCAAAACAACAAAGAAGCTTCTGATACCAAAGTGGAGTTCCAGTTCTTCCATGGAAGTCGTAAGAACGTCATCTCCATCTCTGGCGAAGAAGTGCTGCACAGCAAAGTACCGGGGGACGACACCTCTATTTTGGTGTGTCGAACACGCGATGTGCAGCTGTGTGTGAATGTGAACAGGGTGAGGTTCCATTTTCTGTTCTTATTGTTGTTAAAGTTTAATATAAGTAAAGTTGTTGTTGTTGATGTGGGAGGTTGGAGAGTGATACTGAGCAGCTGTTTATGTATGTGAACAGAGTTAGATTGCTTTTCTGTTTTAGTTGCTGAAGTATAAATATGAAAACAATCAGGAAAAGACGAATGCAGTTTCTGGGACATTTGAATAGACATAAAGGCGGTGAACATCTGGCACTCACTGGTAAAACTGAAGGCAAACAAAGCAGGGGTAGACCCAGAGCAACTTATACCAAGAGCTTAAACAGATGGGTGAAGGGGAAAGATAATGATAATATAATAGCTTTGTTGAGAGCATCCGAGCAAAGGAATGAATGGAGAACCATGATTATTGATGTCTGTCGCAGATCTGGCACTTTCTAATGATAATGATTGATGAAAGTTAAGTTTTTGTGATTATGGTACTAATGCTGACGTTTTTTTTCTCTCCAGACTATTTTAATTTTGCCACAAATTTTATTTTTGCCTTTGGTAGTGGTGATAGTGGTACTGATGTTAATGTTTTTGTTTTTAATTGTCTTGCAGGCGTTTTTAAATTTTTATTTTGTTACTGTTTTTGTTGTTGGTAGCGGTGGTATTGTGTTGTAGTTTTGGTTACTGTTGTTATCATTGTCAGGTCATAATAATACATTATTGCAGTGCAAGACGTTTTGTGCCCACTCTTACACACATACAAAGATGTGCTCAACAGCAAGCTCTATGCCATTTCCAATCTGCAATATTACCTCAACAGACCTTTTAGCATTTTGAAACAATTTCAACTTCCTGGAAAGCATACAGTGTAAGCTGCCATTCAGGCTCTAAGAATCCAACATACAGACAAGATCTTTGGCCATCTATAGCGGAGTACGCATTCACACTCGGATGAAGTTAGGAAAATTTGTTTAAAGTGCCCTTCCCAAGGACATAATATTGGACTGAGCTGTACCTCGGACCCCCAAACCAGCAACGTCACGATAATGAGTCCGTTAGCCACAAGACTAGCGACACCTGTTCTTGGGGAAGTTGGAGCAGTGTCTCTGAACTTATTGACCCGCATCTGTGGTGTGGTGGTTAAGTGGTCTACTGTTGCACGCTGGGGATCAGAGTTTTATTTCCGAGTGGGTAGAAATTTTTAATGTGTGTCTTGGTGGTGAAGCACGTCTTCTACAAACAATAATTCGACTGCTTTCATATTTTTCACAACAGTGGCGACAAGAGTTTTTGGATTATGCTGCAAATTTGCCGGCACATGATAAAGAGGCGATGATGAGGACTGTTCTGACCGTCTCCCACCCTCACGGTGCCCCCATGGTTGTGTCCCATGGTATAGCAGACGAGAGGCTGTACACAACAGAAGAAATGCCAGATGGACGCTCAAGAGTCGTACAAATTCCTGCAGAAAGAGCATGTACGTTTCATCTGTACTTAACATTAAGTTAGAAATAAACAAATAGCATTTCTATAGCACATATATTCCAGCCCATCAAGAAGCTCTATGCGTTTTATAATCTATCATTTCCTCAGCAGACCCTAGAATACTCAGAAACATCCTCGGCTTCCCAGGAATCACACAGTGCAAGCAGCCGATTAAGCACTCAATTACTCTCAGGTCTGCTTTGAAAATCTTGAATTTACTGCATGTAGAAATATTGTGTGTCTCAAGGGTTTGGAGAAGGTTTCTTTGCCAGGCCTATGTCCACCATCTTGACCAACCATGTGGGTAGAGTCTGTTTTTGCTTTTGGAAAGTTGGCAGCTATGTAGCTAATTAAACAAATTTTTTTTTAAATTTTTCGTTTGGTAAGTACTTTACAGCGCTTGCAACTTCATAAGTTCATATCAGCATGTGGGACACGTAAAGGATTTTCAGCTTAGTAGGAATTAATTTTGAATTTCGCTTGGGTGACGGTTTAAGTCTACTCTTATTGATTTTATTGGATTTTAGGACCACAAAAGGATCTTTAACAAGCGCAACTTGCACATACGACCTTCAAGATATTTTTGCTCTTATCAAAGAAGGCATGGTATTAGATCTTACTTACCATAAGATCAGCGGTGTGGCTAAAGGACAGCAGTTAGAAGGATCCAAGGAGTAGCAGTAGAAAGGCTGCAGAAAGAGTCAAGAGCCCAAATCTGGGGGGGGGCAAAGAGGGGGGCGTGGGGGTGCAGAGGGGTAAGAAAGTGGAGACAAATGCAGACTACAGAACATGGTAGAGAGCAGGAAAGGAGGTGAAAACAGAAAATTCTTTAGAGAAGAAAATTTTCCATCTCTGTCGGGTTTCGAACGCCGCACCCAACTGAATGGGAGGCGAATACTACAAGAGGCCCCCTTTGTGAAGGTGTTTTTGTTTTGTTACAGGTGTCTTTGTGTCTTGTGTCATGTGGTCAATGAAGACCGAAATGAAGATCAAGATTTGTTTTATGTGCTCAGTGTCAAGCTCTGGCATGGTGTGGAAGATTTTGGCTTACACGGCGTGCACATGTGAGGGAAGCAGTGGGGCTGCGATTCTCCGCTACCAAAAGACGGGCGTGGATGCTGGAGGCAGGGACATTCTGGAGCTTGGAGTGTGGATGCACAGTGGAGTCGACAAGAACGGATGTGGGGTTTCTGTTCTCAAAGGTATCGAAGTGCGGCGTTCTCAGGATTTTCTTGCCTAGTTGTCCTCCTCTGAGCATAGTCTCCGTGCGCACGATGCACAGGATCCCAGTAGGCTTCTCTTCCTGTATCGGGGAACATAAGCCGGAAGTTTTCCCCCCATTGTCAAAACTTACGAATTTTTTTACTCAGCTGTACCTACACCTGTGTGGTGTGTTGTGGAGAAGGCAGAGGTAGGGAAATAACCCACAGTCATGCTCAGATAACTTGAACCCGAAAAATGTGAATTCACGAGTAGTTCAAACTATATGCCTTTCTCTGAGTGAACTGCTATAATTTCTTTATATCGGAAAAACTTGTTTTCTCGAACACTCACACGGATGTGTTCTACAGAGTTGAATTCTCGCACATATGAAAAGGTAATGTTCTGTCCAAAAAAGAAAAACACTGAAGGTACCTCTCATATGAACTAACCATTAAAACTATGAGTGTCTTTCATCCTTGTTTTGTTATTTTAACTCACTTGCGACTGGGCCCTTTCACCAGTCACAAAAGTTGAAGACTGGCGTTTTTGGGGGTATTTCAATAAATCACCACAACTCTCAGAATTACCCTATTATAATCATTTTTTGACACAGTAAAGTAACATTCAAGCTTAATCTAATACAAAAATTTAAAGTTGTCTAAGTCTAATACTTTAATTTGTATGATTTTTTAAAAATTGGCATGAATTTGATTTTCCGAAAAATTTCCAGAGACGTGACAAGTAGAATGAAATTCACTGCAACAACAAAAATAAAAGTTCAAAGTGTTCTGGTTTGATTTGTATACATGTGCGAGTGTTTGGTGAAAATATAAAAGTTGGTCTGTGCATTGATTCAGACTCATACACTGAATTACATGAGACAGATGTACGGCACGACATTGTGATTTCGTTGCGCGAAAAACAACACCGGTACTAGTGCTAGATCTAGCCCTAGAACTACGACTCGGGCCGTGTTCGGGTACATATCCAGGATCCTAACTATAAGACACATCATATTCTGAGACACTAGAACTAGTAAAACACACAGAAGTATAGAAAACGGCGAAATTATGTGATTCTTGTTCATGCGACTTCTTCGACCGTTACTACGACGCGACTGTCGGATTACTATCAGCTGTATAGAAAAAAACAAAGTGCGAGTTCCGATCTGTTCAACCCCAGTTGGGGTCACTGTCCTTCACCTTCAATAACTTAAAAACTACCGGCCCCTGAGATACGAAACGAAGTCTAAGTAGCTCAGGCTTGGCCAAACAAGGGTACGAGGCGGGTCTCGCGATCCGTGCGTGATTTGTAGAGCGAAAAAAAAATTCCGGAAGTTGGCCACGCAGGGCTTGTGAGACCCGTCGCGAGCGTCGCGGCGGGGGTCACGCAACTGTTGTGTGACCCATCTGAAGTGAGTTAATCATGCTGAAGTAAGCAGTTTTTCCACAGTTTTTAACACTAACAGGTCTTCTTAGTCTTCTCTTTCACGACTACTGTCTTGTCGCTTGTGTGTTGTCTTTGTTTTTGCTGTCTCTCCATCATTTGCATTGCTGTTGACACCTACCGGACCGCGGACGAATATAATTGTGAGGCCGGACTGCTTCCCCAGAACTGCAGACGAGAATGCTTGCAAGCAAAATGACCTAGATCTAAACAAATGCCTGTACATGTTTCTCGTAACATATTTATGTTTTCGTTAACCCAGTGATTGGTTACGTTTAGTTATTTTGCTTCTGATTTCTGGTAAGTAAATGTAGAAAGCAGTCAAATTAGTTTAGAAAAAGTATTTCACCAAACCTGAGGTGCTTGACGAAATTCATATGAACACAAACAGTGTTGACTTGTGCAATGAACTGCATTATTTGGATCAAGAGTCTTCAAATCGAGGAGAAAGTGATAACAGATAGATCTAGAACCAGTTATCATTGATTGAGGGGCAATTTACTTTGTAAGTAGATCTAGATCTAATCTTTTATCCTGTTAGGAACTGACTGTGGACAAAGGTTACTATTACATAATTGATTACACATAAATTACTCCAGTCAAAATATTTTTTCAATAAAAATGTAATTGAGCATAGGGGAGCACATTTCTTAATAGTTTGGTGAAGTTTCATGTCTGTAACTTTGCTAGGGGCTGAGATATTCACATTAGAGCAACACATATCTCGCATAGTCAGAAAGCAGGCAGCAGCTCTGGTGTTGGGAAACTGAAAGCCAAGTGTGAGGCTGGTCCTGTAGGTGTTAATAGAGCAGTCTCCTTCTTCTTCTTCTCTTTAGTAATCCATTGAAACAATTGAATTTCTCACAGTGTTCTCAGTTTGTGCAATGCCATGTGTTAAACCTTTTTTCATCTCACCTCTATCTTTCATAGAATTTCATTTTTATTCATTTGATTCTTTTTCTCTGTGCACATTGCTTTCTTTTTTATATTGTACTTATATTGATTTTATTTTATTTTATAAGTGAAAAGTGTACTTTTACGTATCTGTCTATCTTTATACAGGTCGGGCAGGGGGAGCAGTGCATGTGTGTGTGTACATGTGTGTGCTATGTGTGTATATGCACAAGTGTGTGCAATGTTTGTATGCATACATACGTGTGCAATGTTTGTATGCATACCTGTGTGTGCTATATGTGTATGTGTACATGTGTGTGCTATGTGCGGGTGTGTACATTGTGTGCTGTGTGCAAATGTGTGCTATGTGCAGGTGTGTACATGGTGTGCTATGTGCAAATATGTACATGTGTGTGCTATGTGCATATGCATACATGTGTGTGCTATATGCGTATTTGTACATGTGTGTGCTATGTGCAAATATGTACTTGTGTGTGCTATGTGTGTATGCATACATGTGTGTGCTATATGCATATTTGTACATGTGTGTGCTATGTGCAAATGTGTACATGTGTGTGCTATGTTTGTATGTGTAAGGAGTTGGCAGTGATGGAATATGGAAGGAGTGAGCGGATGATGGAAGAAGTGAGCTGTAAAGCAGTGTGGAAAGAGATAAAGCCTGCTGTGTCTGCGTGAAGGGTGAGCTTGATTGTATCCTGTGAAATGCAGGTGATCAGGTGAGAGCTTTCGTAGAGATGATACAAATAAACAAGTCTTATTTTTACCTATTTTTTTCCTATTGGCATAAAAGGAAAAGTGACGCCAATGAACGCTCAAGAAGAGTGTTTGGTTATCTTCAGAAAAGCACCGTTAAAAAATCAGACCAAAATATTCTTTCAGCAGTAGGAATGGAAGCACTTTGTGGATATATAAGAAAATTGCCTTACACACTTTAGCTCTTGACTAGCATCTGAGGTTTACAAGCTCTTTGCCATTGTCTCTCTGGATCAAAAGGAGCATTCTCTCTCTCAAACAAAAAACCCCTTAAACAAAAGGGAACTGCAGCAACTACACGAAAATCTCACTCGTATCCATATTGAAAAAAGTGCTGGCTATATTTGCACTGAATGGGCTTCACTTTCTCCAAGATCAGATGTACACAAGTTAGCAGTAGTGTGGGTGTTTTTTTAGCAGGGAAGTCAACAGTAGACACGATGCTCTCCTTACAACAGCTGTAGGAGAAATACAGAGAGCAGACCCAAATTATTGTTGTACATTTTTTTTTCAACAACCATACAAAGACGACTGGACTGTCGTAGAGGACTATCTAAATCATATCTACCAACTGAAAGTCCCCCCATACTATTCAGATCATCCTGTCTTTCCGTGATTGAAATTCCCAGGATACTTTTGCTGCAGTCATATATGGCTAAAACACCTTCACCACTTGGACGATGGAAGAGTTGGATAAGACTAGCTCATTTGCCATTATATCAAGTCTCGCTTTATCTCATCTTATCTCGTCTTGTTTCAATTCATATTGCAGTTTGCCTGCTATCAGATATCAAACAAAGGTCTCTAAAAAACTCTTGTCTGGAGACAACAATCACTTGCCAGGAAACAAACAACAAACACTTGCCAGCAAACAATGTGGTCTTATATTTCCCTTTGTGTCACATTGTAGCTTGTTTCCTCATCATAACTTATATTGCAGTCTGCCAAGCTTCAGATTTCGAAATTCTCCGTCAAAGACTGATCAGTGAGAGGAACAAGAGACAGACCTCGGGTTCATCCTCATCAGGCAGCTCCTCCAACCCTCAGCGACCTGTGAAACTGAGCGTGAACGGAATGAACAACCCAAACTTTGTGCTTTATCGCACCCGACTCGAGACGTACTCAACTTTCCCGGAGCATGTCAAACAGTTCCTGAACCCTAAAGATCTTGCTTTCGCAGGATTCTTCTTTGCAGGTTTGTTCCTAGTATGTGAAAGCTAGAAAGCTGTGACTTCAAAAAAAAGAATACCTTATTTCGTCTTCTACTTCTTTGTACACACTAGTGTGCTTCACCCCCCCCCCCCCCCCTCTTTATTTCTGTTAGTCTTTTATTCCGCCCCCCCCCCCTTCCTCTCTTTCTCATCTTTCTGTCTATTTCCTTTTCTCATTCTCCCTGTATCATCCTCTCGTTCTACTTTTCTTTCCATTCTGGTATTCCTTTTGTTTTTTGGGGGGGGGTTTTCTTTCGCTCTCAAAAGTCTCTCCCTCCCTCCACCCATCACTATCCCCTCTCCCTCCCTCCTTCCAAACGTCCATCCCTACCCCCACCCTCTCTATCTCGTAACTGAAGTGCGGATAGATTTAGTTTAGAAACATGAACGAACAGAGATTTTTTAACCTCATTTATACGTCTGTGTCAATGGATGGACATTTCGACCCGTTCAAAGCTAAGTCACCTGCCTCAGAGAAAAAGATACGTTTTTATATATATTTGTCTCAGCCTCTTGTGTATGTCTATAAATGGATCATTGCTGATCAGTTTTTAACCTGGGTGTGATGCAAGACAGCCTGCACTCATTATTAACTTCACTTTCCCCTGTTTTTGCCAGTGTTTTTGAAATTATAAGTAGGCACGGATGTTCTTTTGTTGTTGTTTTTTTTCCAGCTTGACCCCTGATATCTCCTTCCCTTTCGAGTGAAGAAACAATTTTTATAGGATCCCGTGAATGATAGTACTTTAGATTGGTTAAACAAAATTTTTTTTATGTTCCTGTGAGCTGTGAATCTGAGAGTCTTGCTTGATCAATTCCGCTCCTGTGTATTATCATTGTAAAGAGAGAACAGTCTTTGGAGACTTTTTCTATGGGCATGAGCCTGCCATAAGATAATTATACCTTGACAAAATTATACAGAGACACAAAATTATACAGAGAAACAAATTTAAACAGAGAAGACTCAAGAAAGAGTCAATAGATTGAAAGATGATATGAAAACGGTGTCATGATTTAACTGACCTCAGTAGAGACTATCTCTTGAATTTTTTTTTTCTGCCACTTTCAGCCGAGTTGAGCCAGATAGGGTTAAGACATAAAGAGTCCTTTAGAAGCATCTTTGCTGTTTTAAAGGTTTCCTTTGCTGTAGATGAGCAGTGTGTGGTTGGGTCACTTTTTTTGTCTGTTACTGTGATGTGCTTATGTCTTGCAGCACCTCAGAAAGAAATGTAGCTCAAGTATTCAGTAATAATCCTGAAAGAGATGAACATGAAAACATGGATGACTCTGAAATACAGTGGAGTCCGCTCAAACCAAAATCTGCAGGACCGTAGGATTTTGTTCAGTTTATACAGATTTTTGTTTAAGTGATGTTCCTCAAGAATCCCTTTAAGCACCATAAATAGGTCAGCAGGTCAGCACAGCAGGACCTAAATGATGGCTTCCCAGAACGGAATTATTTCAGTTATTTTCAGAGGTTCAGGGGGTGTAGCAAACAAATTGCTTTTGCTTTTGATCTAATGGATGTATTTCAATGAAATTTCACATACAAAGACCTAGGTTGTCGGCGTCTAAATTTAGAGTGGAATGTTCTTATTTCTAAGCCTAACTTAAGGCGGATGTGTCAGGCCGCCAGAAGCCGGTATGGCTCTACAGCAGGAAAGCCTGTAAAAGCCGGTGTGGCAATGTGATGGGAAGGCCAGTTTAATTAAGCGGGTATGGGTCAAAAAGGGATAAAGGGAAAAAATCAAGGATTTCATTCTCTTTCAATTTACTGCTGTTTTCAGATTATTCGTGTTTGGTTCAAGCGGGCTCAATTGTATGTGGAAACATGGATGACTCTGATTTGTTTGGTTATTTATTTGTGTCTGTGAAAATGTGGATGTCTCTGAATTATGTAGTTATAATATTCCTTAATGAAGAGGGTAGTGATTAACCCATCAAAAAAGTTGTGAGAAAAGAAACTGACATGAGGCAATTTTCTAGCTAAATATTTTGAACAACTTATAATTCTGATCCTCATCATTTTGACTGGTAAGGAGATGTAATAGTGACTGTCATTTCCAGATCCTTCAGCTTGAAGACCTGTTTTGGCTCTTTCTGGCTGATAAAATTGTCTGTGGATCTGAAACGATGGTGGTGTATCTGTCTTCCACAAATACTTCCTGCTTCAGAAGGCGGAGGTCCGAACACCATAAGGTCCCCCAGCGAATCTGTCCATTGCCTGCCATGCAGCAATCTTTTTCTTACTATGTGCCTTAAACCATGGCATCAACAAGAAATGGAGAGGCTACAACAGAAACAGAGAATCAACTGGTCTTTCAAAGGACTTGATCCAGGGATGGGATTCGGAGGTCGAATTTTTTTACTTCAGTGGGTCCCACATCTGAAAGGTCCCTTCAGGCTGCTGGCTCGCCTCCGACACAACCTTTCTGTTGGGTTGAAGCAGGTGGTGGTAGCTCTTGCTGTTCTGTTTGTATTTGGTTTTTTTCTTTCCCTATTATTTCTATGTATGCAGTATTGTTCTAGCATTTGATTGTGAACTGATAAATTATTTTGATGTGATGTTTGCCCCTGCGATGTCTCTTCACTTAGAACAGTGTTTACCGACTCGGACATTGTAGGGTACTCTGCTAGCTCAGTTGGTATCATGCTGGACTATAGAGCGGGTGGCCCGGGTTCGAATCCCAAACTAGGTCATTTTGGGGAGTTTTCAAGGCTGTCAACCCATTTGGCACAGTCCTATCAGAGACAGGCGTGAAATTCAGAGGTCCCGTCTCTGAAATAACCTAATATTTTTTTATAAAGGCATCAAACCCAAAAAATATTGGATGGTATATCCTACTAGAAGGCACTTGGTAATTTTGGTGGGCGGTGGGGATCACCCGGGCAGTGACAGGTGTTATTTTATGCTCCCTTTTGAAATACATGTAGGTGGATGGTACCGAAACGTTAACCTCTTAAAGGTGGCAAAGGGGGGTTGGCTATACTGAGGTTGACAGGCACTGGCTCAGAGAGCTGCAGTGGTCTCTATACTGCCTGTGGTTTGGAAGTTAGACTGGAGACTTCCTGTGAACTGGCCTCTGTGGTGTATGGTTTGGCGCTTCACTGTCGCACATGGGAGACCCGAGTTTGATTCCCGAGTGGGTAGAATTTTTATCAAGTATCTCAGTCTCTCTGCTGGTATGTTGTATCCCTCGCAGCCTGGGTTGGCCCTAACAGGCAGGGCCAATAGCCCACCTCCTGTTAATGGAGGGCGTAAAAATACACAAACATTAAATTTTAAAATAATTTTTTTAACTTCGTGTGAAATTTAACACAGATTTTACATATAGGGAAAAAACAGAAGATAAAGAAATTCTTCTCATACCACACTACATTGCCACTAGCGTCTGTGGTGTAATGGTCAGCCTCTTCGCCTTCCTCGAGTGGGGAAGTTATTTTGTCATGTGTCTCCATCTGGTGGGGGGGGGGGGGGGGGATGCTGCATCTCTCTTTGCCTGGGGTGTATGGTATTTTCTTTCTTCCCATTTATTTCCGAAATAGAATGATAATAATGGCAATAATGTCGTCCTTTCTTTGGATTGTTATTTGGTGACTGCTGTCTGTGGTGTAGCGATTAGGCACTTCTCCGTCATTCACAGGAGGTCCATGTTCGAATCCCAAGTGGGGAGAATTGTCATGGAATACCTCGGTCTTTCTACCTCCTAAATGATCTAGTGTCTGTGGAGGCGAAAAACTTCTACAATTGCATTTTGTTGTTGTAGTTATTTGGCTGTTTAATTTCATCAACTATATTTGACCTCCGAAAGTTGACTTTGTAAAAGAAAACCACTAATGTGTGATCGGAATCTGAATCTGATGTAAAGTCACTTTTTGACAGTGAATTCTTTTCAGTAATTGAACACGAATTAAGTAGTTGTATGGCATTGGAGTGAAAACAATGAAAACAATCTGGTTTAGAACAAATTTAACCTTTGAAGAGAATGCAGTGAGTTTTATTTATTTGTATCTTAATTATATTGTCTAGCATAGCAGAATGAATTGAAAATGGAAATTTTTTGGTGTATGAAATTTCACTATGTATGTGTTTAAAATGCAAAGAATGTAATATACATATATACAAAATATAATTCGGGACTTGAAAAGCTGTTCACTATGTGCATGTTAGCCATGTGCGTGGTAGGATGTATTTTGAAGTACTTTATTTTATGGATGCGAGAGAACTGGTGTCTGTGGTGAAGCAACTAGGCTATCACTCGCAGGAGACCCGATTTCAATTCTCGGGTGGGGAGAAATTTTATCGAGTATCTCGGTCTTTCTGCTGGGATGTTTGTTGCCTTCTTAGCTTGGATAGGCCCTGACAAATGATCTGAACTATGTGGATAGAGATGTAAGAAAAACGACATTCATTTATTTTCTTTTTTTTTTTTTTTTTTTCCCCAATTTTTAATATCAAGATTTGTCAGTTTGTTACCTTGTCAGTATTCTACTCCTCAGGGTATCAGGACTGTGTGCGATGCTTCTGCTGTGGCCTTGGCCTTAGAAGTTGGCGACCAGGTAAATATTACAATTGGTCACTGTCTATGAAAATGTCTTCTACTTTATTGTTGATAGCCCTCTGATGTAGTGTACTACTTCATGGATGGTTGGCAGGTGCTATATGGTGTGGTTTGATCCTTTTTTCCTGTCAAATATTTATCATCCTTGTCTCTGCGCCTTCCTTTCTTTGTATGTCACTCTCTGGTAACTGTGGGTGGCTGGAGGGTGCCACTGGTAGGGCCTACTTCTTTACTTTCCCTCTATTGTGTCTGTTTGTCTGTCTTACTTTTTCCCAGCACTAAATGACCATTATTGTGTCAATGTGCTTCTCTATACTAAATCAAACAAATGTCTAGTAACTAGTGCTGGCCCCATTCAATTCTACTATTCAACCCTCCTGACATTTGCGCAATTCACAACTATTCAAAACATGGCAGAGCCATTAGCCATTCGAAGGCTTTATGATTTTTTTTTTGGTTAAGGGATTTTTGTCTCAAAGCACGTAGTAAAATTAGAGCATGATATAACATAATCAAAACTCGCTGAGGTCATTTCAACAATGTGTTGGAGTTGATGATTACGGGACGGAACGATAAGGGGAGCTGACAGAAGTTATAAAAATGCCTCTAAGAGGCACAAGTCACGCCTTGAATAACCATTGCTTGCCGCCTTGCTCGAAATTCAAAGCATTAGGCTCAGTAGTCACACCATGAATAACTCAAAGGACCATCATTTTGTAACACAGTGGGTGGTTTTTCATAGGCTGGCACACGGAGCTCCCCGTGCAATATTAAAAATTGAACGCATTAGTCTATACCATAATGATGCGAATGTTGATGTTTCATCGAAATGGCTCATCACTACCAGTAACGCCTAATCTTCGGCAGTTGTATGACCTAATTGTGCTGAAAGTGCCATAAAACGGATACATACTAATTCTACTACCTCTACCATGTGGATGGTTGCTGGCTGGCGGTGCTGTAGTCTACTCCCTCTACTTCTTGCCAGTGTTTCTGTTTGTTCACACTGTCACCCTGATCTGGACTTGATTATAAATAGGACTTTTATCTCACTGACTGTCTGGAAATTATTGTGAGGCAAAAAAGTCACTGTGATTTGGTGGGGGGGGGGGGGGGGGGGATTTGTTTTTTTCTGGTGAGCGATAATTTTATGTTTGATCTGACCTCTAACGTTTCATGTTTGGTCATGGGTGGTTGGAGGGTGCCTCTGGTAGGTATTACTTATTTACTTTCCCTCTGTTGTTTTTTTTTCTATCTGTCTTACTTTTTCCCAGCACTAAATAACCATTGTTGTGTTGATGTGCTTGTCTTTACAAAAGAACAACAACAAAATATTTTTAAAAAACCTAAACATGCTTAATCTGACTTTTATGATCTTTCATGTTTGATCTGACCTTTCATGAGATCTTTCATGTTTGATCTGACCTTTCATGAGATCTTTCATGTTTGATCTGACCTTTCATGAGATCTTTCATGTTTGATCTGACCTTTCGTGAGATCTTTCATGTTTGATCTGACCTTTCATGAGATCGTTCATGTTTGATTTGACCTCCATAGCTGACAACCCCAGTACATAAAAAAATGTTTGAGGGATAGGGTATGGAAGTCCGTTTCATGTTGGAAAATACATATTCTCTGTTTACTAATATTAGTATTGCTGCTCCCCACGGATTTGCTGATGCTGAAAAAATTATGAACTTTCAAGACTGGATTTGTGAATAATAATGAGAACAAAGGCGCCAATAAGTCTATTGTAGTATCTGTTGCCATAGTTAAACATTGAGTATGAATTTATTGAATGCAGAAAAGTATGTGTGAAGAGTTTGGAGGGGGGTTTACTTGACCAGTGTCCACCTTCATGACTTGCCACATGGATAGAATCTGGGGGGTTTTGTTGTTGGCAACTATGGACCTTTAACATGCTCCACCAACGCAATGCACAGCTCGCACAACCTTTGTCCCCACGTACCAGGATGCAGATGGGGTACATCACTACTATACCTGTGTCTCTGCAAAAGTACCCCAATCATTATGAAATTTTCAGCATATTGAGAAAATTGAACATGATGGTCACATGTTCATCAAGAAAGGAATTAGAATCGGCACTAAAAACATTAGATCTAGCACATTCATCACCTGAATTTTCATCGCGGCATAAGTGTATAGCAGCACTCATGCTAGCTCCACTTGACATTTTCCAAAAAACATTTTACTCCAATTGATGCAAATAAGCTGATTTTCGCCCTCAAAGGCCACACAAACCATTCAGAAAGGATATTATAACTTTGACAAGTATGCACGTCTAAAAAGAGATCATTGCTACAACATTTTTGTTGCTGTATCACACCGACGCCGATGGGCTTCCCATGAGGGAAAGGGACAGCTTCTTACTGTTGCGAATCGACGTCCCGTGGGGGCAAAGTGTTAATGTTTCATTTCACCTCTGACCTTTCATGTTTGTGCTGGTCAGGTGACAATGTGTACCGGGAACACAAGAGACACAAAGCGGACTGCAAGTACCTGAAGGCACAGCTGGCTGTACTGGGCCCAGACATTCTGTCGGACACCAACTCTGGTTCTCTGCGTAACTACACAGGTGAGCACTCACAGACCTGCAACTCATCCCGATGCTATTGGGATATCCTAATTTTTTTACCCCAAATCTCAAACATCCCGATTTCGAAGACATGCATCCCAATTTTTCTGTTCCATCTGTTGCGCGGGATTTTCCCTCAAACTTAATCTGTCTTCGTGTAATTATGCACACCCCTCGAAAAACTCGGCTGTCTCCAGACAAGGTCTGCAAGCAGGACCCCTCTGTCAACTCTTTGTTTTATTTGTAACCTCGGCACGCTGCATTTTGTCCTTCAGTATTTATCTTCGAACTGGGCTGAGTATATTTTCGGCTTTAGTCGTCCACCGGACTGGCCTGTGCACACCAGGACTCGAACTCTGTACTTTCCTCCCGACCAACAAATTCCCCAGTATCTTTGCCTTGATGCCCTTCTTTTGACTTTCCTTTCTCCCTGCTCTCATCCTTGCTTATTCCAGTTGGTGGTTGGAGGGTGCCACTGGTAGGTCCCACTTCTTTTCTCTTCCATTGAAGTTTCCGTCTGTCTCTCTTTCTCTTTCCCTAATCTAAATGACTGTCATTGTGTGGATGTGCTGCTGTTTACTCAAACAACAAACAAATTTGCTTGTTTCTCAATACAAAATGCTGTCATCAAGGCAATATCAGTCATTCCACAAGTTGTTTTCTTTTAAGTCTGGAGAAAATTAAAGAGCTCACAAATCAGAACCTGGACTTGACCACTTGTTATTTATTTCTCAGTTAAAAGGTAGGAAGGAAATAACGAAACAGGACAAAACTATATTGTAAGATGTCGCTTGTTGTCTTTATCCGAATTACAGCTTTTTCTGGATTCCTCCAGAAATTTATTTCGGTAATTGTTTTGTTTTGTGTGTGTTTTTTTATAATGCAAGTGTTTTTACACCCCGGTCATTACAACTTAGATCATTTAGGAGGCGGGCTTCCGGTCCTGCCTGCCAGAGCCTACCCAGATTGAGAGGGATACAACATCCCATCAGAAAGAACGAGATACTTGATAAAATTTCTTTCCACTTGAGAATCAAACTCAGATGTCCTGTATTCAACAGCAAAGCGCCTTACTGCTACAAACCAGGTGCCAGATTGGGCAATTGTGAAGTGACACTGACGATACACTTCTCATCAACTCACCACCATCAAACAACCAGATGGTTAACTACCCCTTATCACATGAATGGGCCTTTTTAGCGCTATTCTTTTGTAATCCCATCCTTTTTCAGTTTTTAGGGGGGGGGGGGGGGGTGCTTGGTTGTTTGTTTGTTTTTTGTTGTTGTTTTTTTTGGGGGGGGGGGGGGATTTGCTGGGGTTTTTTGGTAAACACACTGTTGAAAACAATAAGGAAGAGACTTTTTGTTATTTTTGTTGTTATCTATCCAGAAGGAAGGGACAAATGCAGTTTCTGGGACACTTGAATAGGCATAGGGGCTTTGCACTTCTAGCTCTTACTGGTACAACTGAAGGGAAAAGAAACAGAAGTAGACCTGGAGAAATGAATGTCGAACCATGATCACCAATGTCTGTTGCAGATCTGGCGCTTGATGATGACGAATAAGACTTCTATGGCGCTTGCAACATAATAAGGTCTTTAAGTGCCGAAGATTAAAGGTCTTAAAATAGAGTAACATGAAATTTGATCAAAATTGCTTTTTCAGACCTCCCACGAGACGGGCAGCCGGCTCAGACAGAAACACCAAACACCCCAGAGGAAGCGAACCTTCAAGTCAGCCTTCCGCCGGAAGGTGCTGTTATGTCAGCAGCTGACATGTCCACAGGCACAGAGCAGCGTCCACATTCCATCGTCCCAGTCTCTGGAGTTGCGGTTAGTCGGACACCGCCCGTGTCGCTGGCCATAGCCAATTGTGTTGGCGCGACTGCTGGGTCACATCCAAACCAAGCACCTGGTAAGGTTCCTTCCTCCTGTCCCTCGTCTTGTGAGGACTTTGTGTCGCCTGATGGGGTGCTGGGTTTGTTTTCCTCGTTATATTTTTTATTATTTTGATATTTTTTACGGGGGGTGGGGGACGATGGTCAGTGAACCTGTGTGAATTCGCATGACATGCTACAGCATTGTGTGAGTGTGAGTACCGCCATTTTTTTGAGTTGCCAATATTTATTCAAAGTCTGAGCATTGCAAAATATGACTCCGGAAGGGGGGGGGGGCGGCTTATTGATTTTTTTAACCTTATCCTTAGGTCGTGACGGTGCGTTACTAGCGTATCCATGCGACTTGGGGAACTCTGTGCCAACACTTTCGAAGAGGAAATTTGCTGGTTAATCTGATCTGTACGCTTTGCATAGCAGTCTGTCTAAATAATTTTTTGAGAAATACTGAATGTTTCAAAGAGATCTTCGTGCTAGAAATATTCTAAAATGTCAAGAATACAACCCCAGGGGTGCAAAATGACCCCAGGGCGTACGGATAGGGTTAAAGATACACTTGGGGGGTGATGAAGGCAACTTGATGACAGGTTTTAGAATTTTGATTAGAGCTCTCTGCAAAGCACGTGTTGGTGCAGGCCTTGTGTGGAATCGGGATCCACCATACCTTGTAAGCCTTGTTATTGTTTGCTTTTCTTTAATGGGTGATAGTGATAGTAAATTATTACTATATTGTAGCTTTCTGTTCAAGATCGGCAGATTTTCAGTGTCACTGCATCTTGCCCTCCCTCAGTTCTTACAACTCTCACAACAATAGGTCTACTTGAGCCATTCAAGTTATTACTCTACTTTGAGTTTGGGCAATAATCTTGATGAAAAAAATAGGTGTTATGGGTTGTTGGTATTCTCTTCACACAGGCTTCCAAATGCCATTTTTAACTGTCGAAAAGCACTAAATTTCAGTTCCACCGGGACGCTTGATGGGGGCCTTTGCAGCCCCCAGGACCCCCCCCCCGGCCAGAATTTTCCTTACTTTTCATGGGGTATGTCCCATGCCCATTCCTCTGTCACTGACACCATATGAATAATAATGTGAGTTAAGCTTATTTTGTTTGCCCTTCCTTCCATTTTATTTGATGTGTGGGGTTGGTTGGGTTTTTTTTGGAAAGGGGGTGTTGGGGGAGGGGGGGGGGGGGTCATTGACCAGGGATTTGAGCTATACAAATGACGTGTATGTTATTATATTTTATTGTGTTGAATTTCTTCTCTTAAATACTAAATTAATCAGAACCCCCTCCGCATTTTTTTGCAGGATGCATAGAGAAATCAACACAGAATGTCTCCCTACTGAAAGTTCTTAAAAAGGAAAACGATTTACTTCAGAAGCAGTTCCAGTGCCGTATTTGCTTACAGCGCTCGGTCAAGGAGCTCTTCTTGCCCTGCGGAGATCTCTACACTTGTTCCGCTTGTGCTAAGATCCTGACCCATTGCCCCTGTGGCGAAAAAATTCTTGCCACTGTATCAACATATTTTGTCTAAAAGTTCTCTCGAATTGAGTTTGTAACATCTTGAAATGATATTTTAGAACCAATCCAGAAGCTGTACACTCCATTTTAGAACTGGTTAGCGTTTTTTGTTTTTAACTGGAGAAAAAAAATAATCGAGCGAAAGGACAGATTTTGTCAATTTGTCTCAAATTTCACTCACATTTGAGTGTACAAAGAAAATCAATTTTCAGTCAAATTTGATTGCCTCCCAGAAAATTGAAGTTTTTATTTGTAATGAGGCCGCAGGACTTTCATAACAACTTTTGAGACGCATGTTTTCGTTAAAGACTTGCTCAGCCTGTGAGCACTTCTGTGGTAGTTTCATTCTGTTGATGATTCATCAGTATAGTTACATCCCCGATCAGTCCATCACACTTGGTGTAAATCCATTTATTTTTCCTCGAGTGATCTTGGGAAATGTAAACATCTAATATAGCAAACCCTTAATAATGTATTAACATGCCTTAATGGCAGTTCCTCATTCTAGATTCATTATGGGTGATTCATCATTATTGACAGTAACCAACTGTGTTATTAAGTAACAGATATCTTAACAGTCTGATTGATTCATTCATGAATGAGAGGTACTGCTACCGTCATTTAGTAGCAGAAATCTAAGTCGGAAATTATACCTCTAATTTGAACAAGAGTTCAGTTTGGCTTTTTTTTTCTACATTTTTTTTCTTAACTAAGTGACAACTGAATTTTGCGGACAGATGTGTCAGGCGTATATACAGTTTTTAACTATGAAATGAATCCAACTTTCCTGTCTTTTGGTGTATTTTAGGGTCTGTTAGAGATGAAACACTCAGAGGAATTTCCAAGACGTGTTAACGTTCATAAGGGATTTGTCAATCAAGTCCAGACTTGAAAAAATGAAAATGCCTTTACAAAACGAATACCCAGGTTATACATCATTTTCTCCAGCACTGCTATAGGAACTTCCAATAAGACAGGCCAAACCATTGAAGGAAGGAAGGAAAGGAAGGGGCTAGGGGGTGCAGAGAAGGCAAGGACATGATATGATGATAATGATTGTAGACTTGATCATGACAGGCTCATTCTGCTGTACACAGTTGGGTGCAAACTTGATTTGTCACGTGAAAGTCCAGGGGGTTCAAGTCCAAATTATTTTCATTTATCTATCCTGAAATTTTCGTCTTCCTCCCTCTTACCTTTGAGATCAAGTGAAAATGACTTTCCTCATTTCAAAAAGGCCTTAAAAGTTCAATAGAACCAGTGGTGTTGCTGGGCTAGGGTAGGACCTGTGTGTGGTGTGAAACTGATAGATTTTTAATGCAGAAGAATCTAGGCAGTGAGGTGGTGCTAGGTTTGGAGCCAAGGTTTCCGTAGCTATGTGTGCCTCTAGACTCGTCCTTGCGACAGTCCCAAGCCTGTAAAACTCAGAGGGCAAAATTTGGTCACGTCATTTTGGTAACTCACTATCGGAACTGACCATATATATCACAGTGAACACTTTCTAAACTTCTTCAGAAAGAAACAAAAGAAGGTTTCTTGAAACGAATTTGGGGATTGCAGAATGATGCCTATGAAAATCCCCCTCCCCCCCCCTTCCCCAAATTCGTTTCTTGAGATCCGGAGATAAAGCCGTCATTTGAAATAAGATATTAAGGGACATCTTAGCCTGCCATTTGGAATACAATCTTGTATAAAATCAGGTAAGCTGCAACTTTGACCCAATTTGAAAAAGAGCCTGTAGACTCATTTCTTTAACACCGGGTCTTGGATATCGACTTTTCTCATTTTTCTTGTTCCCCATTTCCATCTATTTAACTCATAATTTCGAATAAACTGCAAATCTTTCTTTCATTTTCTCAAAACTTTGGAAAAATGACTCTGATGATGTGCATTTTCGATAAGTGCTGGCAAAGGATGTGATTATTTACTGTATCTTTAACCAAAGGTCTTTCATGTTGTTTTTCGTCTTTTTGTTCTTGTCTTTTCCAGTTTTGTGCTGGAAACATGAAATTGCTGTTGTTTTGGGCGGGGGGGTTGTCAGGTGGTTGTTTTTTTGAGTTGCCTACTCTTTATTTTGGTAAAAGATGATTTGCTGCTCAATATGATTTCAAATTACAATTCTTTTGCATTCTTAGTGATCTCATCCAGATTTATGTTCCATCTAGATCACTAAGATCAGGCGATCAGTATCTTTTTAGGGTTCCTAGAAAAGGGGGTAAAAAAAAAAAGTAAAATAAAAAATAAAAAAAATAATTAGCTGAAAGATCGTTTGCCCACCTTGCTCCGTCAGTTTGGAACTCTCTTCCCCAACCCTTGAGACATACAACATCTGAGTCTAAATTTAATAAAATCTTTAAAGACACATTTAATGACATCCTTTTTTATGTCAGTAGATTCATGTTCAATACAATGTTATGTAAATGACTAAGTATCCATTTATGTATTTTGTGAATTGCATTGTGTATTTTATTTTTTGCTCTTTTCGTGACGATGTGTAAGCGTGCGCGTGTGATAAACAAGTAGATGTGTGTGTGTGTTTGGCATACATCTGTGTGCACATGTGTGCGTGTTATGTGTTCGTGAGTGTGTATGTGTCTGTTTGTGTGTGTATGTGTGTGTGTTTGTGTGTGTGTATGAGTGTATTTTTGTGTTTGTGTAGCGTGCATGAATATTGTTCGTACATGCATTTATGTAAAGCGCCTAGAGCTGTGTTTACACGGGAGTGGGCGCTATAGAAATGATCTTCATTATTATTATTATTATTATTATTATTATTATTATTATTATTCCATGGTAAAGTATGAGCTGGTTCTCTCTGTCTACTTTGCAAGCTCTCCAGGTTAAAGAGCTGCAGAAAAGTAAGAACAATTGTCTGTGAAGGGCTCTATTTTCTGGGGAAAGAGAGAAACTGATATAAATGATGACACATTCTAGTAGCTCTGGTAGTAGATACCATCACTTTGTTCAACACAAAAACCCTCCAAGTGTCCCTAGCAACTAGCCTGAGGTCTCGAGAGAAGTTTGATGATTTCACCATATTATGTTGGAAAATACTTGAGAACTGGCAAACCAAGCAAGTTAAGACTATAATAGGGCCTACACTTTTACTTTTACATTGTCAGAGAGTAAATTATAATTGGGAAGAAAAGAGAGCTCATTTATAAAGGGGATTAAATGTTTTTAATGATATTTTAGAAGACAAAATAAACACATGGAAAAAAACCCAACTCAAATTACAGCAGATTAAATTTTACAGCCAATTAAATCAGCTGAGATGACACAGAATAAAACTTATGGCTGATTTATTTGGCCATCAACAGTTGGAGGGTTAATGTTACGTGAACATCTTGTCATTGTATGTGTGAAATGAATACTGTTTTTCTGTTATACAGGATCAACTGGGCGTATTACACGTGATTGTGAAGATGCTCAAAATTATGGTCATCTTTCATTCAGCTTATAAACATTTGGGAAGTTAAATAGGTTTTAACTTTTTTTAACTTTTGTCTTTCTCATGTTTTGATCATTTTGCAGTGAGTTTGCTGAGTATATCAATTTTGGGGATGGGTTTGTTATGTAACATATTATGAATTTTCTACTTATCTTTGAACATTTTGACTTCTGCAGATTTTTTATGCATTAAGAGCTCTGAATTGTGTAATCATTTGTAGTTTGGGGTCTGTGGTTTCCTTCCATATTTACCAAATTATGTGCATATTTTGAACTGAGCAGGACGGCCCAATATAATACAGATACCGGACTTCAAGTGTGATGCGATCAAGAAGAAGAAGAATGTGCATATTTGGCGAATCTGCTTTCTTTCTATACAGTTATGAAATGCTCATGTATGTTTTTGCATTGCGGAGGTCATTACCATCAGTAAAATTTTGATATGTTGCACCAGCAAACTGAGTTGTAAACCAATATTTTCATCATTTATCAACATAATTTACTTCTCTTTCCTTTAAACTATGTTTTCACTTGTAATTTATAATATTGTATCTGCATATTATTTGTTTTACAATGCGTGTATACTGCTGGTGTGTCTATATGAACGTTTGCAATAAGTTTTTATCTGTATTTATGGATGCTGCTAATAGCTAATTGTGTGCAATTTGAATAGGTCATCCACTGCTTATAATCTCTCTGAAGTTCCCTCATGTGTTTGGGTCAGGTTTGTGCTCCATGTCTACTCCTTTGCTGTGCCTCTGTCCCTAAAAATGTACCATATTATTTATATTGATCTAATACTTTGGCCTTTCGATATCATCCTCATTTTAAGATTTTTACATTTTTTTAAAACATAAGATGATACAATAACTAATGACAAGAACGGTTTCTTGCACTTAGGTCTATATGAATTGGACTATTTTTTGTGTGAATTAATCGCCAAAAATAATTGTATTATTGAATACATTTCAAAGGATAAATGTTCACAATTAATTCGGTTCTGTACTTCCATTTTGATCATTGTTGCAGTTTCTTTTCATATCTGATGAAATGTATATGTCATGTCCTTTTTTCTGTTTTTATCTGATGACATGTGTGTGTCCTGTTTTGTGTTCATATCTGATGAAATGTATATACCATGTCCTTTTTTCTGTTCACATCTGATGAAATATGTATGTAATGTCCTTTTTTCTGTTCATATCTGATGACATGTGTAGGTCCTGCTTTCTGTTGTGTTTGCCTGTACAGTTTTCTTGTTATGTGTTAGTTGTGAGTGAGTGTAATGGGGAGGGAGGGAGAGAGTGTATGAGTGAGGGAGAGAGTGTATAAGTGAGGAAGGGAGTGAGTGTAATGGGGATGGAGGGAGTGAGTGTATGAGGGAGGAAGAGAGTGTATGAATGAGAGAGGGCAAGAGTGTATGGGTGAGGGAGAGATTTAGTGTAATGGGGATGGAGGGAGTGAGTGTATGAGGGAGGGAGAGAGTGAGGAGTGTATGAGGGAGATACAAAGAATGTGAAGGAGTGAATGTATTAACTTTTTATAAGTGTGAGGGAGAATGTGATATATTGATGTGTTGCCATGCTTTTAACATGTACAGTCGGAATTGTCTAAGAGTAAGACGACCACCCATTGTCGAGGAGATAAGTGGCAATCTTGAGCAGGTGGATGTTGTACACAGTGTCGTTATAATTTTAAAGCAATGCAAGGGTGGAAATGGGAAGTGTCCGTTTAAATATGTGATTGTCTTATAATACAGTTGGCCGACAGGTGCGACTGTGTATTAATTTGTGTTTCAGAGGCTGGTTAAGCCGCATTAAGTTTGTTTTTTTTTTGGGGGGGGGTTGGGGGGGGGTGGGGGGGGGGGGGGGGGGGGGGGGGGGGGGGGGGGGGGGGGGGGGGGGGGATGCTGCATCTCTCTTTGCCTGGGGTGTATGGTATTTTCTTTCTTCCCATTTATTTCCGAAATAGAATGATAATAATGGCAATAATGTCGTCCTTTCTTTGGATTGTTATTTGGTGACTGCTGTCTGTGGTGTAGCGATTAGGCACTTCTCCGTCATTCACAGGAGGTCCATGTTCGAATCCCAAGTGGGGAGAATTGTCATGGAATACCTCGGTCTTTCTACCTCCTAAATGATCTAGTGTCTGTGGAGGCGAAAAACTTCTACAATTCCATTTTGTTGTTGTAGTTATTTGGCTGTTTAATTTCATCAACTATATTTGACCTCCGAAAGTTGACTTTGTAAAAGAAAACCACTAATGTGTGATCGGAATCTGAATATGATGTAATGTCACTTTTTGACAGTGAATTCTTTTCAGTAATTGAACACGAATTAAGTAGTTGTATGGCATTGGAGTGAAAACAATGAAAACAATCTGGTTTAGAACAAATTAAACCTTTGAAGAGAATGGAGTGAGTTTTATTTATTTGTATCTTAATTATATTGTCTAGCATAGCAGAATGAATTGAAAATGGAAATTTTTTGGTGTATGAAATTTCACTATGTATGTGTTTAAAATGCAAAGAATGTAATATATATATATACATAATAAAATACGGGACTTGAAAAGCTGTTCACTATGTGCATGTTAGCCATGTGCGTGGTAGGATGTATTTTGAAGTACTTTATTTTATGGATGCGAGAGAACTGGTGTCTGTGGTGAAGCAACTAGGCTATCACTCGCAGGAGACCCGATTTCAATTCCCGTGTGGGCAGAGTTTTTATCAAGCATCTCGGTCTTTCTGCTGGGATGTTTGTTGCCTTCTTAGCTTGGATAGGCCCTGACAAATGATCTGAACTATGTGGATAGAGATGTAAGAAAAACGACATTCTTTTATTTTATTTTATCTTTTTTTTTTTTCCCCAATTTTTAATATCAAGATTTGTCAGTTTGTTACCTTGTCAGTATTCTACTCCTCAGGGTATCAGGACTGTGTGCGATGCTTCTGCTGTGGCCTTGGCCTTAGAAGTTGGCGACCAGGTAAATATTACAATTGGTCACTGTCTATGAAAATGTCTTCTACTTTATTGTTGATAGCCCTCTGATGTAGTGTACTACTTCATGGATGGTTGGCAGGTGCTATATGGTGTGGTTTGATCCTTTTTTCCTGTCAAATATTTATCATCCTTGTCTCTGCGCCTTCCTTTCTTTGTATGTCACTCTCTGGTAACTGTGGGTGGCTGGAGGGTGCCACTGGTAGGGCCTACTCCTTTACTTTCCCTCTATTGTGTCTGTTTGTCTGTCTTACTTTTTCCCAGCACTAAATGACCATTATTGTGTCAATGTGCTTCTCTATACTAAATCAAACAAATGTCTAGTAACTAGTGCTGGCCCCATTCAATTCTACTATTCAACCCTCCTGACATTTGCGCAATTCACAACTATTCAAAACATGGCAGAGCCATTAGCCATTCGAAGGCTTTATGATTTTTTTTTTGGTTAAGGGATTTTTGTCTCAAAGCACGTAGTAAAATTAGAGCATGATATAACATAATCAAAACTCGCTGAGGTCATTTCAACAATGTGTTGGAGTTGATGATTACGGGACGGAACGATAAGGGGAGCTGACAGAAGTTATAAAAATGCCTCTAAGAGGCACAAGTCACGCCTTGAATAACCATTGCTTGCCGCCTTGCTCGAAATTCAAAGCATTAGGCTCAGTAGTCACACCATGAATAACTCAAAGGACCATCATTTTGTAACACAGTGGGTGGTTTTTCATAGGCTGGCACACGGAGCTCCCCGTGCAATATTAAAAATTGAACGCATTAGTCTATACCATAATGA